CTGTATTTTTTAATTTGTTAATTTCCATAGATTCTAATAAAGAAAGTACTCCGTCTTCAATATCCCTTCTCCAATACTCCTAACGTCTCCAAAATTTCTTTGCTCTCCTCTACTAACACGATATTGTCAGCACAGAGCATTGACCAAGGAACCCAAGAACCAAGGACTCAGTGAAGAGCCTTAATGCAAACCATCCGTCACTGGAAAACTTTCGGTCAACGTCCTTAGTTTGGTGTCCGCTCCATTATACACATCCTTCACGAGCCTTACGTACTTCTCATGAACTCATATAAATATCAAATGTAGCTCTCGTTTCTTCTCCCCGTATTTCTCTATTAACTGCCTCAAAGCAAACTTTCTTGGCATAAACCCAAACTGTTCTTCCCCTATCGATGTCTTTCTCCTTAACCTTCGCTTTACAGTTCTCTTCCAAATTTTCATTGTGTGCGACATTAACTTTATCCCTCTATAGTTCTTAAAGTCCTGAATGTCCTTTTCATCTTTATACGATAATACTATCACACACTCTATCTCCATGAATTGGGCATCCTTTCTTCCTCATATATCCTACTCATTATTTGCCTCAAAATATCAACCCCTTCCTCTCCTAGAGCCTTCCAAACCTCCACGGGTATTCCATCAGGTCCTAATGACTTACCGTTCTTCATCCCATTTAACGTCTCGACAACTTCATCTCTCGCTATTCCCGGTATTACATTCTCATTTGGGATCTCGCTTCTCTCTCTCTCTCCTCTGGTGTTCTTCATTTAGCACTTTCTAAAGTACTCATACTATCTTTGCTTTATGTCAACATCGGTTCTTAACACTCTTCCATCCCCACTTTTAATCTGACGCACACGGTTTAAGTCCTTTGATGATTTCTCCCTTGCTCTAGCAATGCTGTATAACCTTTTCATCCCCTCTGTTGTTTACAACTCTTCATACAGCTGTGCAGACGATATTTCCTTAGCACTAGATACAACGCGTTTTGCTTCTCTCTTGCTAACTTGTATATATCCTTATCTTCCTCTCTTTTAGACCTGGCATACTTCTTTCTTCTCTCTAACCTTCTGTTGCACTGCATCGTTCCACCACCAAGTTTCTTTGTCTTTAGGAGGCCCTTTACCAGATGTTTTTCCTAGCACTTACTCTTACACACTCATCCTTTATTCCTTTACAGTTGGTAACTTCTTTTAGTTGACTTCTTCTACACAGCACAAAATCTATGTGACTTTTCCTTCCCCCGCTACTATCGATAACATACTTGGTCTTAAGTCTTCATAAAGAATGTATTAATGACAGCCAAATCCCATGCCACTGCAAAGTCAATCACACCATTTCATAACTTCTTATTCCCACCCCGAAACCTCCATGAACTCTTTCTATACCAATATGTCCCTACAAATCACCTCCAATAAAACACTTTTCGTCTACAGGAATCGCGAGCATCTCGCAATCTAGGTCCCTCCAGAATTCTCTTCCCTTCCCTTCTGATTACCCTTACAAGATGTTCCTTCCATTAATTTTTCAAAAGAATACATACTCCATTTCTGCCGTGACTGTTCGAACTATTATATATTAACTTGTATCCATATCCAAGATCCTATATTAGAAGCCCTATAATAGAAAAACAGATTCTATGTACGCACTTCACCTTCTGGACCATAATCATTCTTTTAATGACGAATTTCAAATTCTTCGCATACAAGATAAAGGCCTTCGGCCATCTTTATTAGGATCTATGGAAATTAACAAATTAAAAAACACAAACATAATTTTGAACTACCAACTTGAGACAAACATTTCTCACCTCCTCAACCTATTCAGTTAAAGACTATCAAGTGTAAACACATACCAATCACTTGAAATGTTTTTAAAACAAAAGTGAGTAATTGTTTACATTCAACATGTAAAAAAATTACACCATAAGTATTTGTTTTCATATTTTTGTAACATTTTGACGTTGGTTAGTAACTTTTATAAGCATCTATTGTAATTTTAAATAAAGGGTGTACAATTATTGGACAATGCACGGTCAGCTAAAATATTATTGTATCTTCATGCTGTCATTTTTCATATATGATAAAACCCAGTTGTCGTGGATCTTTCATTAATATTCTGACTCATTCAAATGTCACTTCTCTTTCATGACTAAGATTGGAACTAAAAGTACAATCCATATATATATATATATATATATATATATATATATATATATATATATATATATATATATATATATATATATATATATATATATATATATATATATATATATATATATATATATTTCACTTGTTCGGCTCCGAACGGTTTTCCTACCATCTGGAGAATACATGCAATATCTTGATTCATCTGTAAACATTGTAAATGTTTTATCAGTAAGCATCATTCCAATGAATATGCGTGCTAAGCAAATGCTAATTTTACCACCCAATGATGTTAAGCTAATATTTGGATATAACCCAGCTTCATTTAACTGACGATGTACTGTCAATTTACTTATTTCTGTTCCTCGAACTTCACAAAGTTTATTTTTGATCTTCACTGATTTTAAGTGTCCATTTATTAAGGCCGTCCAAAAAATTAACCTGTTATCAGTGTTTAACATATTATAGTTTGACCATTTCCAGACTTTATTTCATTCCTACCAGTTTATCAAAATCACTTATCTGATTTTTGTTAAACAGAATAATTAATAATTAATTTTCTCGAAACCTATTGCTAGTTTTCTCACCTTCTAAACAAGCTATTGTTTTAGCATAGGCTTTATTATCCAAAATTATTTTGAGAATGAGTATAAAATGTTCTTAAACTGACGCTGACAATAAAATAAATATCAAACAATAAAGTGAAGCAATCTTTACTAAGGCAATATTTTTTAGGTTTTTCTTTATGTAACTGATCCAGCCTTACTTATAACGAAATTTAAATAAGGAGAATTAATCTTGGATGAATTATTTCTTTATACTTATCCAAAAAATTATCAGAAAAGAACCAAGAATTAAAAAAATATTTGAGATCAAAATTTGTTAACATCTTAACAACTCCCATTTTTTATGTACCTGAGTGTAATAAATAAATGAAAATTTTAATTTTTCTCTAAATTCTATAACTATTCTCTAATATATAATATAATATATAATAATAGATATAATATGCCAAGGATGAAGCATGTTAATAATTTTACATGTAGATGATAGACGACGGAACTGACGTTACATTACTAGCTACAATGTCCGACGTAATCACGTAATTATTTCCGGATATTTTAATATTAAAAAGGTACAACTATATCTTAAGTCAATAATTTAGTGTATTCTTTTTGGTAGATTAATAAATTCGTAAAATTTTTAATATTTTGCATACAATCATTAATATCAGTGGCGTACGCAACTATGTCCCTGTAAAATAGGTTTTAATGATATAAAAATAATAATTTTTTAATTTTATGTTACACGTCATTATATATTTTTTTTAAATGTAGATGAAAATAAATAATTATTGTACATATATATGTACCAAAAGAAATTTTTTCGTACACCACTGACATTCCGGAAACAAGATTGGTCATTGTTACTGTTACTAGCTACTTTCGACACAAGTATTTATTCATAAGTTCCATCCTTTAGTATATTAGATCCATGCTATTTACATTGAAATACTTCTGATTAAATATAAAACCATTAACACTTTCACTGCGCATGACACGTTTTACTGGTTAATCCGTGAGTGCTCACCATATTGATCCTCTTTTTACAGCAAGTTATATCTAATTATATCTAATATCAAGAATCTGATGGTACGGTTTTATATAATATATGTATACAATAAATCACAAGATTCCTTATGCAGAAAGGACCACTCAATGAAAATTGTTTGCGAATTGATAAAAAATTACCATGGATATGGCTACTCACTTTTGTGGATAACTTTTATACTCAAACTAAACTTAATGAAGCACTTCTAACAACTGATACATACCTACTTCACTGGAATCCTAAATGTTAGATGTTAAGGTATTCTCAAGAAATTAAGTACTCAATTGCAACCTGGTGAGACAATTGGAAAATACCAAAATGCTGCCCTAGTTGGAAAACAAATAAATAAGAGAGAGAATATATCTGTCCACATAATTTGAAAACAGAGAAGGCACAAAATTAGAAACCTTTACCTATTTTAGAATATGATAAGTATAAGGAACCTGAACTATGGTATATTCTCCAGAAATGAAATAATAAGATAATAAAAAAAAAACTAATACAACATATATTTTAAGTAATGGTTTATAATGAATTTATTTATTTGTTAAACTCTTAGAAGAGAAAGAGACAGCCACTCAGTAGTTTACATTCTTTATATTGAAGTGGTTGTGTCTTTGAACATGTGTACTAACAATTACTACCACAGTGCTCACAATGCAGATCTGAGTTTTTTTAAACAAGCACACTGACATTAATTATTAAAAAAAATAGCACCTGAATGAACCAAGTATATTCAGTTGTGCAATGAAAGTGTTTTCCATTACCATTAAAAAAACTAAGCTACTATAAAAAACCTCAAATGATAAAAAAGTAAAAACCCTAATATTTTAACAATATTTATTAATAAATATACATTAATTTTTTATGAAAACAAACAGGTAAATAAAGTAATAATTGAAAAATTGAACTCTTTCTATATAACACTAATTTTTAACAAATGCTTTTTTGGCAAATAGCAAGAGCAGAATAACGACTTCAAAAACTGCAGGTACATAATAGTTTATCTACTTTCAATCTTTCAAAAAAAAAACTGGAGAGTAATAACACAGTAAAAATGTTTCAAAAACAACATAAGCTGTGTTAAGACAAAACAGAGATATAACTTCCAGGTCAAAATGGATCAGAATTAAAATCTGAAATGTGACTTCTGGATATAAGATGAAATTTCCTAAATGTATCTATAAAAATTAGATATATTAAATATTAAATATGTTGAAATAAAGAACCAATACTTACGGAGCAATAATTGCTCTGGCTGGACCATGGCTCAAGTCAGCCTGATTTAACCAATAATCCAATTGTCTGGATAATTCAGCCCCTAAAAATACCAATAAAATGAAGTCATATAACAAAGAATGCGGACTATTCAGTCTATAAAATTGTTTTAACAGCTGATCAATGTTTAGTATTTATTACCAGAGTCGGTGTACCAGCTTCCCGCGTGTAGGGCTCGTCTTACAGGCATCTTTCTCAGTCTTTGTTTTATATTGTATTTAATTAAACAAAATTTTTTAAAATATTAATAATAATTCCTAAAAGTAGAACTCTACAATTTATTAAAAATTACATCTGCCACAATAAGCATGCGCTGAACCGAAATATGTCAAGTCAAGCAGGTCAAAATAGCAAATTCATCAGTGTTGCCTTTCACTTTTCACTAAGGCTAAATATAAATATATACCACTGGAATGGAATATTATTATTTTCAATAGGCTTTCTTTGTTATTTATCTTTTAATTGTTATATTGCTTCAAGTTTCAATTTCCAAAATTGGCTTAATACTACTTATTCATAGATACTGAATAATTTTAGTTATTTCGACAAATACAATGACAAATTTTAGACAAATAATGCATTTTATAAAAAACTATTTTAAACATGTTTTATATTCTAATTGTTTACAATTAGAATATAAAACATGATTAATCTTTTCTGGAATTGAATAAAAAAAATGGAGGTCATATCCTACAACAACGATAAAAGAAATTGTATTTGATGTATTAAATATTTTCTCTTTAACTCTTTTCTTTTTTCCTTGCAGTTTAGTTTAATATATTATGTTGTTTTGTTAATAATGAATGATATGAGACAAGAAGATTTTATAGTTTAACTATTCTGAAATTGAATTTACTTTATTGTATCGCAGCCACAAAGCCATATTTAGTGCTTTTTGTTTGTGACAGTTCAACAGTTGGTACACAACTGTTTTGCGCCTGTCCGTTCTGGAAGTTTCTTTAGAACATAGTGGAAAGTCAAAGTGTACAAATTTCTGCATTTTTGATAATATTTCGCTAAACAAAGACTTTAAGTTAATAAAGTGCCCAAATTTGATTCCGGGAGGTGTACAAATAAAATAATTCGTCTTTGAAGATATATAAGGTGTACAGTTTGCTGCACATGAGGCACAAAAGACCGTTAGTTACATAAAATCAGGAAATTGGTACGATCCCATTGACTAGCTCATTATTTATAGGGAAGCAATCCAAACAACAACAATCCATGGATGCATTACATTTCTTTATTTAATTCATCCAATAAGGTAAGAAGTGAACATGATAATTAATGTATATGAGTTTATTTTTGTTATCAATTTTGTTCTGTATACCTATGTTTTGTCAATTGTTTTTCAACATGGCTGCCTCGTAAAATAAAAATCTGCAGTTTATGATTTACCGGCATTGTTCTCAGATGATTCTCAAACAATTTGATGAATTCTCGTGTAACTTTTGCATCTCCTTCGTTTTTTGTAGAAAATGTTATACCCAATTAATGTAGTTTGACATTCTATAAGGGTGACTAAGCATTACCAGTAGGTATATATAAAATGTATTACTAACTAAAACATCTACTAGATTTTAGAATAAATAGGGATAGTTTAGAAAATTCGCATAAAATAATTATACGAAAAGTAATATATTTTACTTATTTATATTTTGTAGCTATTATTTTGATTTTAAATAGGCGATCAACAAAGAAAAGGAAAGTTGTAATATATTTAATTTAATATGAGAGATGGGTTATGGGACCAAAATCAAATGAAAACTAACATCTAAATAATAATGATTTAATGTAAGCAGGATGATGAAGCAGATTTTCAACAATTTTATTTATTGTTAAATTAATGAAAAAAGCATGAGAGACATATTAATATCAAATATCTACAATTAAATACATCAATTATGTAGAAAGGTTCTGAAACTGTTTTCTTGTGGCATGTTTAACATATTTTTTATATGGGATTAAGTCACAATTGATTGTAATGAGAATTACATTTTATATTTGCTTCGATGGTTTAAACACAATACTAATATCAAATTTAGTAATGAAAACAACAAAGAGTTGTTAATCTACTGCTGTATGTAACAGAGAATTTGATCCTCTCAAAAAGTCTAAATGCTGATACACTATCCTGTCTACCCCTATCAATTCAAAAGACTGGGGAAACAAATATTTTTCAATGGTTCAAGATTTACCTTTGTCCTTAAGGTAGATAGATTTTCCCTTAAGGTACCCATGGCATAACAGCTCCTCACTATAGAATAAACTTTGAAGCCTGACACACATGACTGTTTCAAAAACCTTAGAGAATGAAGAGGCATATTGGATGATAATTTTCTAGTAAAGTGGTATCACCTTTTTTATACACTGGTCGTACTACAGCTATTGTAAGTTGTCTGGAAATATCCCATTTATGAAGGTATTATTTATTATATGACGTAACAGTATAGCTAGCTCATGTTCACACAGTTTTATTATGTTTGTAGGTATCCCATCATAACCTGAAGTGAATTTATTTTTCAATTTTCCAATTAATTCAATTACTTCATTTATAGTTACTGGCGTTTGAAAAAATGAGTTTTTGTTAAACTGCATTTTGGTGCTGAAATTCATTTTTGGTATATTTTCTAACACTAACACAGAATGACGAAGAATTGCTCAAATGTTTTGAGCAAAAAATACTAAGACGAATATATGGAGGCATAAAAGAACAAGGTTTGTGGCATAGGTGTTACAATTTTGAGTTGTATAGATTTGGGGAACCTGACGTTGTAAAATTCATTAAGCCAGCATGCCATAGTCAGAAAAGTTTTTGACTGAAGAGTGCCGATCAGACAACGAAGAAGAGGAAGACCTAGACTTAGGTACCAAGATAACCTAGAAAATGATTTGAAGTCTATCAGAATTAGAGCATGGAGAAGAGTTGTCAGAGACAGGGGAGAAATGGAGGATTGTTCTGAAGAAGGCTTTGGCTCATAAAGAGCTGTAACGCCACTGATGATGATATTTTCTAAAAGATGTGTGGCATAATTTAAAAAATATTCATTAAAATTATTACTTACCATGACTGGATCTTCTAGTATTGCTACATTATTAATGATAGAATTTACCTGCGTGATTTCTTTAATGATTTTCCATAGACTTTTTGACTTATACTGACGTTTTGTTTGTTTGTACTCATCTTTGTAATGGTCATCTACTCTACTTAACATTAGCAAAAGGTCTAAGCAATTTTTATATTGATTTCTTTCATTTGTATTATAGTATTTGATACATTTTTTATGTTTATTTATATTTTTTTCTGAAAAGCATTGGTCAAATAACAAAGAAATGATTTTCATAAATACAATCCATTGCTTTTCTATATCCCAATTTGGTACTGAAAAAAGCTCCTCCCAGTCTTCATCTTGCAGCATTTGCCTAAAATTTTCTTTACTGTGGGAATCAAAAATCCTTTTCCTAATTTTTATATTTTCTTTTTTGTTTACATTAATGCTGAAAGTTAATTTTTGACTAAGATGATCAGAGATATGAGTATCTAATACTTCTGCTACATAAAGTTCAGTCTGTAAAAATGTTATTAATGCATGTCTTTGTAGCTCTACATATGCAAGTATATTCAGAAACTGATGGCATTATATTAAATGTTTGTAATAAATAGAGAAAAGCTCTATCTTTAGTTTGAATCCTCAAATCTATATTAAAATCACCTGCAATGAAAACTAGAGAGCTCTCATCTGAAATATACATTAAAACATTTTGTAGAATATCTAAAAATTCTTGCACACAAGACTTTGGAGTATGATATATACAAAGAATTAAAATTTTGCAATTTTGCAAAACACACTTCTACACATGAACATTCAAAAACATATGGTTTTGCCTTAACACTTACATATTTTCTTATCCGCCATGATAAGCTTTCTTTTATATAGATTGCTGTACCCCCATGTTCGCCTTCATCTCTACAGAAGACAGAAACTAATTTGAAACTCATAAAATTGTGATTTTGTAATTGGGTATTGGATTTCCAATATTCACTTAGATAAACTGCGATATACTCCTAAGGTTGTTTTGGGGGAATTTTTGGCATATTTTTGGGTAAAAGAATGTTTAGATGTTGATCAAAATTGTATTAGGTATATATAATAAAGGTGTTTTTGTACAGGTGATTGCAGGCAAAAGTTTTAAGGCTTTGACTTGACCAACATTCTGGAATTGTTAAGATGAAAATGTTAGCTAGACAATATGTCTATTGGGATAATATCAATAGGGATATTGAAAAAATTGTAAATGAATACTAATTTTATCAATTAAAGGCTAATTATGTACCCAATGCTCCATCGACATCATTGTCCTGGTGCTCTGGTGCTGGAAAAAATGGCAACAACTTCATATAGATTCTCATGTCTAAGAAAATCATTAGCAGTTTTTATTATTAATATTTATTAGTTTGTGTGAATAATGAAACTACCAAAATCTCCACCTATACACCCAGTCTTGAACAGTACAGTAGAACGCTGTGTATTCAAACCTTCAAAATTATTTTTTAAAACAAATTTATGACAATAAGTCTTAGTGTTCTGTTAAATTAAGAAAACTAGACAATTGTTTATTGTATTATAGAAACTTTCAACATAGCATCACCCAAATATCTCCAGCAGAAATAATGTTGGGACAAAAACCAAAACTAAATTTATACTTTTAAAACTCATAAAGTTTATATAATTTTTTTCAACTCTCCAAAATAAATAGGTAAATAATTTTTATCACTTTCCACAAACTAATTGCTGTAAATTCAAGTATGTGCTTATGGAATTAGAGTTTGTTAACATAACAATATCTTTATTTTTAGAAAATAATATACATTCCGTGAACATAAAATTATTAAAAAAAAAACAGTGTCACAAACGAAAATATTATTTACTTATTCCTAACTGTTACATATACAAATAGTCCTCCACAGAATATGGCTCAAGAGCTACCAGTAATTTAAATATTTGATGTTTATACAAACTTAATCTTTCCTTCCTTTTAATAGGTTTAGGCAGTTTATTAAACAATTTGATGCAGCAATAAAGAGCGTTTTTTTCTGTTATACTTAACCTGTGTATTGGAATTTTATAATTATATAACCTGGTATTTACTATACTATTGGGCTCAAAGTTCCTAAAGAGTATTTTATTTTTATATAGAAACAGTAAGCATTCTTGAATAAATACAGCATAAACTGTTAAAATATTATTACTCCTAAAATGCCCTCTACATGATTCCCTACTTTTTAAGTCAAACATAACTCTGATTATTTTTTTCTGAACCAGAAATACACTATTTATGTCCCTACTGTGGCCAAAACTTATTAGACCATATCTAAATTTTGCTTCAAAATTAGCATGATACACTGTTTTTAATGAGTTACTATTCATGTATTTTTTTAGAACTCTAAAGCTGTAAATCACTTTACTCAAAGACATACATAACTGGTCAACATGTTTATCCCAACATAAAAAACTGTCAATATATAATCCTAAAAATTTGGTACTGCTGCTAATATTTAAAGTGTCCTTATTTACAATAATACTGTTTGGCATATCTGAATGTGCATAATTTGTCTTAAACAAAAGAAGATCTGATATATTTTGATTTAAAACTAACCTATTCATAGAAAACCAGTCTAGCTTTCTGGAACTCTAAACTAGCATTAACACTTAGAACAGACATATCTTTACCACTGACTAAAATGTTTGTATCATCTGCATAATTTGTTATGCTGGAAGTAGTATTAGCCACTAGACCATGAAGATCATTGATATAGATCACAAACAGTAAAGGACCAATCACACTTCCTTGTGGTACTCCAATATTGATAGTGCTTTCAGATGAGATGCCTATTTCAGTGTTTTTATGTATTTTTACTAAATGTCTCCTATTTGCCAAGTAGGACTTAACCAGTTCAATGCTGGTCCACATATACCATATTTCTCCAATTTATCAAATAATATGTCATGCACTAAACAGTCATATGCCTTTGATAGGTCCAAAAAGAGACCCAAATCCATATGACCAATCTCAGTACATTTCAATATATCCCAGACAAATTGAAAAATCGCAGTCTGAGTTGATTTTCCCCTGTTGATAACCATGCTGATTTGCACTAATAATATGACATTTTGTTAAAAATTCTGTTATCTGCCTATACATAGTCATTTCTAAGATTTTTGAAAAGGAACATAGAAGGCTAATTGGTCTATAGTTATTAATTAATTTAGGATCACCCTTTTTGTAAACAGGTGTTACTATGGCAGTTTTTAGGCATTCAGGAAATACACCAGATTTTAGTGAATTATTTATGATTGGAGTGAGAGGATTCACTATCTCCTTTATACAAAGTTTAAGGATTTTAGTGGGTATTTCATCAATTCCACAACTCATTTTGTTTTTTAAATTATTAGTTATATCCATAATTTCAGTTTCTGTCACAGGTGCGACAAACACTGAACTTACATATGTTACTTGCAATGTTGTCTTTATATTCAGTGTATTGTAATTGAGATAAAGTGTTATTTAAAGAAGTATTTAAGTGGATCATGTATTTATCAATCTCTTGAGGACTACACTCTACTTTTATTGAATTTACACTTTTTAATTGACCATTAATTTCACTAATAATTTGTCACATGCATTTATTTTTGTTGGCAGCTTCAGACATCCTGTTTTCATATAGCTTTGATCGTTTTGTTATTAGTTTCTTATTATATTCTTTTTTTACCTGTCTATAGGAATCATAGAATTTATGGTTAACTCTGCTCATTGTAAACAAGATGTCTAAACGAGTCTTACATTCTATTATCTCTGGATCATCTCTTTTATTAAGGCCTTTTTTACGTTGCCTAGAATCTAACTTTTTAAAAGAAAAGCACTGATTGAATATATACAGAAACTGATTTAATAAAGTATTCCATTGATCATTTACACATTTGTAACTTAAATTAAGCAGTCATGATTATGTAATTTACTTATACAGATTTCAATATTATTTGTACTAAAATGTCTTTTCACTGACTATAGTTGGTACAATGCATAAAAACAGAAAAGATCAACCAAAATCACTTTCAAACTTCACTAGCTGAAGTATTTATTTGTAGCAGTTTCTTTGTTGTAAATATGTTACCTTAGTGTCTTATATCATCATCATCATCTTTGGCTCAACAATCCTCTGTGGATCTTGGCTTGCTCTAAGATTCGTCGCCATTCTGTTCGGTTTTTGGCAACATGTTGCCATCTTCTGATTTTTAATATTCGTAAGTCGGTTTCAACTCCATCTAACCACCTAATTCGCGGTCGGCCTTTGCTTCTTTTTCCTACAGGTGTTCCTGTGGTTAGCTTTTTAGCAATCATATTTTCTGGCATTCGTATTATGTGTCCAGCCCATCTAAGTCGCTGTGTTTTAATAAACGTTATGGCATCTGGCTCATCAAAAAGCTGATACAATTCAAAATTATATCTTCTGCGCCACTGCCCTTGGTCGTTTACAGCTCCAAATATTTTGCGGAGTATTTTACTCTGAAATATTCCCAAAAGTCTTTCGTTTTTCTGCGTTAGAGTCCATGTTTCTGCTCCATATGTGAGGACCGGCCTCAGCAATGTTTTGTATATAATAAATCTTTGAATGTTCTTGAGTGGAAATGCTTTTGGAGTCCATAGTATGCCCTCTTTGTATTTATTCGTCTTTCGAGCTTGTTTTATTGGTAGCAGTCAATAGCAACCCAAGGTATGTGAAGTTGTCAACACGTCCAAAGGTATGACTTCCAAAGACTGTTTCTCGTTCCTCATTTGCTATCGGATCCTTTGTAACCAACATGTACTTGGTTTTGTCTTCGTTGATGACTAGACCGACCTGTTTCGCCGCTGCTTCCAGTTCTAGGAAATATTGCTCAACATCTCGCTTGCTACGCCCTTCTATGTCAATGTCATCAGCATATGCTAAGACTTGTATCGATCTATTGGAAATAGTACCGCCATCCCTAATTCGTGTATCTCGGACTGCCTTTTCTAAGGCAATATTAAATAGGAGGCAAGCCAGAGCATCCCCTTGTCTGAGTCCATCCTTTATCTCAAAGGATCTAGAACTCTCGCCCTGTATTCTAACAGTGGCTTCTAAGTTAGACATTGTCATTCTCGTTAGTCGGATAAGTTTCTCTGGTATACCAAACTCATGCATTGATTGGTATAGCACTGTTCTCTTGACACTGTCGTATGTGGCCTTGAAGTTGACGAATAAGTGATGGGTTTCAATATTAAATTCTAATGTTTTCTCGAGAATCTGTCTTATTGAATGAATCTGGTCAATTGTTGATTTTTCTGGAGTGAATCCAGCTTGATATTTACCAAATATGCCCACTGTGTAAACTTGCAGCCTTTTGTAGAGAATATTTGCTAGTATTTTGTAAGCAGTTGTTAACAGGGTTATACCTCTATAGTTGTCACACTGGAGCTGGTCACCTTTTTTATGTAACAGGCATATCATGCCTTTAGACCATTCACAAGGCATGGTCTCATTATGCCAAACAAGAAGTAAAAGCTTATGCAGTGTCTGTAGTAGGGCATCGCCACCATTCTTGTAGAGCTCACTGCAAATTTGATCAACTCTGGTGATTTATTATTTTTAAGCTTTTTAATGGCTTGGGCAATGTCTTCGATGGTAGGTGGTCTTTCGTTTGGGTTGAAAGGATTCCAATCATTTCGATTTGATAGGGTGTTATCTGCTTCTTCGATATGATGGCCATTAAATTTTGCATCGAAAAATTCAACCCATCTGTTTAGGATTGAGGCCGTATCATTTGGGATGTTTCCTTCTACATCCTTACAGCTCCTTATTCTTGGCCTAAACTCTTTGCGCATTTTGTTTAGATTTCTGTAGAACTTTCGAGTTTCATTTTGATTTCTTACCCATTCTGTGCTTTCCAACTGCTTTTGCTCAAATTGTCTTTTTTTTTCTTCTATGTAATCGTTTTTCTTCTCTTCTTAGGGTCCGGTATTCTTCTTTGCTCTTCTTGTACATCCAGCTTGATTTGTCTTTAGGTATACCCTGTTTTTGTTTTCTGTTGCTTCTTGGCACTCCTTGTCAAACCATTCGTTTTCTTTAACTGGTTTGGTTTTCCCCAATATTTTTGTTGCTTTCTCAGTTATTATGTTTTTACATTTTGTCCACAGTTCCTCTACATTTTACCCCACCTTCAGGCTCTCCATTTCTTTGTCCATTTGTCTCTGATACTCTCTCGCAACGGTTTCAATGCGCAGATTATCAACATTAATTCTGTCTTGTTTCGTGTGTTTATCTTTCTTTAGGTTTGATATTCTTCCTCTGATTTTTGCCATTAAAAGAAAGTGGTCACTGTCAATGTTTGGGCCTCTGTAGCTTCTGACATCTATGAGATCGGAAGAGTTCCTTGCATCTATCAGGATGTGATCTATCTGGTTAATGGTTTCGTTATCAGGGGATTTCCATGTCCCTTTGTGTATCATTTTATGGAGAAATCTTGTTCCTCCTACTATCATGTTTTTAGTACTTGCAAAGTTTATTAGTCTCAACCCGTTATCATTTGACTCTTCATGTAAGCTCTCACGTCCTATAGTTGGCTGGAAAAATTGCTCTTTGCCAATTATATGCCAAACCCCAAAAATGTGTTGTTTTTCTTTCCATCATACATCATGAACACAGAATACTCGGATCGGACTAAAATTTCAAGCCAGAATTTTGAAAATCATACAATAAAACCAAAAAAGGAGAAAACCATTTGTTTAAAGAGATATTATTGCTAATGGACTAAACTATCCAGCATGGTAAGGCTATATCAAGATCAAGAGGAAATTGTTTATTGAACTTTGAACATCTAGCTAAATAACTTGTGGCAGAAAATATAGAGCAATGAGCAATTCAAATGAAGGTGATGGAAGAGGCTTTTAGAGAAACATTGTCAAGGCGATCAAAATGTGTGGAATGAATATTACAAAAAGTAGTTTCCTAGCAACTACCAGCAGTTTATTATGTGGAAGGTGCAGTTTTTGTGTGGGAAATGAGAATAAGTACATTGACAAGTATGACATGTATTCTAGATTTATTTGTAAAGACCATGGAAAAACATCAAAAAAATATCTAAATGTTCCTTTTCAAAAATCTTAGAAATGACTATGTATAGGCGGATAACAGAATTTTTAACAAAATATCATAGTGCAAATCAGCATGGTTATCAACAGGGAAAATCAACTCAGACTGCGATTTTTCAATTTGTCTGGGATATATTGAAATGTACTGAGATTGGTCATATGGATTTGGGTCTCTTTTTGGACCTATCAAAGGCATATGACTGTTTAGTGCATGCCATATTATTTGATAAATTGGAGAAATATGGTATATGTGGACCAGCATTGAACTGGTTTAAGTCCTACTTGGCAAATAGGAGACATTTAGTAAAAATACATAAAAACACTGAAATAGGCATCTCATCTGAAAGCACTATCAATATTGGAGTACCACAAGGAAGTGTGATTGGTCCTTTACTGTTTGTGATCTATATCAATGATCTTCATGGTCTAGTGGCTAATACTACTTCCAGCATTACAAATTATGCAGATGATACAAACATTTTAGTCAGTGGTAGAGACATGTCTGTTCTAAGTGTTAATGCTAGTTTAGAGTTCCAGAAAGCTAAAGACTGGTTTTCTATGAATGGGTTGGTTTTAAATCAAAATATAACAGATCTTTTGTTTGACAAATTATGCACATTCAGATATGCCAAACAGTATTATTGTAAATAATGACACTTTAAATATTAGCAGCAGTACCAAATTTTTAGGAGTATATATTGACAGTTTTTTATGTTGGGATAAACATGTTGACCAGTTATGTATGTCTTTCAGTAAAGTGATTTACAGCTTTAGAGTTCTAAAAAAATACATGAACAGTAACTCATTAAACAGTGTATCATGCTAATTTTGAAGCAAAATTTAGATATGGTCTAATAAATTTTGGCCACAGTAGAGACATAAATAATGTATTTCTGGTTCAGAAAAAAATAATCATTATGTTTGACTTAAAAAGTAGGGAATCATGTAGAGGGCATTTTAGGAGTAATAATATTTTATAACATTTTACGCTGTATTTATTCAAGAATGCTTACTGTTTCTATATAAAAATAAAATACTCTTTAGGAACTTTGAGCCCAATAGTATAGTAAATACCAGGTTATATAATTATAAAATTCCAATACACAGGTTAAGTATAACAGAAAAAAACGCTCTTTATTGTTGCATCAAATTGTTTAATAAACTGCCTGAACCTATTAAAAGGGAGGAAAGATTAAGTTTGTATAAACATCAAATATTTAAATTACTCTTGAGCCATATTCTGTGGAGGACTATTTGTATATGTAACGGTTAGGAATAAGTAAATAATATTTTCGTTTGTGACACTGTTTTTTTTTTTAATAATTTTATGTTCACGGAATGTATATTATTTTCTAAAAATAAAGATATTGTTATGTTATGTTATATGTAAAACAATCTAATAAAATGATTAGTATTACAGTAAGTAAATATATTGTGGTTCACTTCTGACCTTTTCAAGACATCCACATAACCAAATTTTATCACTCTCAAAATTCACAAGAATTCACACTTGGAATAATTGTAGAATTGTACTGCAACAAAGCCAAAATCAAACTGCACAAAAGGAGGAGAAGAAAAACCCACACCAATATATATTTAAATTATCATTTACACCACAACATAAATATCAAAAAGGAAATCATCAAATCACTATATGATCCTAAAACACCTGCTCCAACAAAAATGCATTTCAAGAAGAAAAATAATCTTATAACAAAGGTTTTAGCAAACAATTATCCATTGTCATTTCTAAAGAAGGAATTCTACAAGATACAAAAAAGGAAACAATAAAACATCAACTGAGATGTATTCTTCTCAAAACCAAACCTAACACAGTTCACATAGGATAGATCAAAGAACTCCATTTATAAGATGCCTTGTGTGAATGCAACTACTTTTATGTAGGGGAAACTTAAGACCACTAAGTGTTACGATAAATTAGTATGAATCATATATTAAAAACAGACATTGACAGATCTAACCTTGTTGGGTTTGGTTTTGGACGGGATAGATCTTGAGTGTGTATCTCAGATATGCAAGCAAACATATCTGGACTAACAAGCACAGAGTACAATGAAGATGAATTAATAGCCATGAAAGACTTTTGTTTTTGATTACATCCGAGATATTCAATCATTCTGGGCCAATCTCACATTTTCCATTTCTTTTATTTAATTGGATATTCTTTCTTGTCTATATATACTTGTCTTAAGGTGTCTCATTTAATAAAAACATTAAACTTGATAGTGATTCTAATTAAACTAATGTAGTTTTATTTTCAGGCTTTTAGTAACACTTATAGTATGAAGTAAATATATTCAGTGTTAAAATGAAGATCGATAGGTCTCGTGTACGTAAAAGTACATCAGAAGTTCCCTTAGAGTGCCAGGAACTCATAGATAGATTGCAGCAATGCTCCCGTACAGAATTATTAGAAGAGCTGTCTAAGATTCAGTCTTGGACATTTGGCAAATGTGAACTACTGCATTGGGCCCAAATACTGGATGTATTTGATCGTATTTTAGGACAGGCAGCAGAACGGAATGATGAAAACATATGGGTACTCGAATGTGATACATATGATGAACAGGTAAGATTTTTAAATAATTAGACAAATGCATGACATTTCGTCATCTTTGGAGATAGAATAAAATCAAAATTTTATTTATATATTTTTACTTTTTTCTTGAAATTAAAGATCAAAATGTAAACTGTGTGAATATTCTTGTATATTAACAATGTTCTGTATAAATTTATCTTTATGGTTATAGTTGACACCTACATTCTCATCTATATGTTAGAACTATGGGATGAGTGAATTTTCCCCTTAGAATGAATGAGACTAGTATGACTGAAATCTGCATCATAATTATAAACAAAATCTATAAAACCATGCAAAGAGCAGTACTACCCATGAGATCCAGATATTCATGAAAATTTTTGTAAGATACTTACACTATTATTCTATGTAATCGCGTTTCTATCAAAACAATTTTGCAAATGATTCTCCAACTTTTCTATCCCTATGTTAAAGAATTCTACTGCCATTCCATTGAGGAATTTTGAGGAATTGAGTAACCTCTTACTTGACTTCATCATTGGTACTGAAGCATAAGACATCCAAGTGTTCCTTAAATTTTGCAAATGAGTGATAATCACTTTGTCCTAGGTCCGGACTGTAGGGAGTTGGGTGGGACACAATAGTCCAGCCAAAATCTCTTAGCAGTTGTTCAGTTTAATGTGAGGCATGAGGTCTAGCGTCGTCATGGAAAATCATTACACCTCTGGACATAAATTGTGGTGTGGGGAGTCTCAGGAATACCCAAAGCAAGGTCGTTAATGGTAAACTTTTGATATTCAAGCAATATTCATTTACATTTTTCGACAATTTCATCTGAAACTGAAAGCCTTCTGCTCCGATCTTTATCGTGAATTTCCGTTCTGCCTTCACTGAATTGTCTACATCATTTGCGAACATGTTAAACCAGATACTCACTTTTAGTGGAACGCTGATACTGGTTTTCTCCAATATTTCCCACAATTTCGCAACTGGCACAGTGTCATACGCTTTTGTTAAATCTACTAAAAGTAAATGCACTTCTCGAGATCTCAGTGTTCTTTTCTCGAGCATTTGGGATAAGCAGAAAATACTATCTATTGCGGATCATCCTGCTCAGAATCCGTTTTGTTCTTCTGATTCAAAAGGACGGTATTGTTCGCATATGCGTTCTTTTATAATTCTCCCATATAATCTGCTAAGCGGGCTCGTAACAGTAATACCCTGTAGTTATTGCGGTCTTCCTTATTTCCTTTTTTATGGATAGATGTAATCCATCCTTCTTTCCAACGAAAACTTCTGTTAGTATCTCGAATAGTTTGTTGGTTCCATTTTTTATTAACTCTGGATATATCCCCTCTGGGCCCAGAGCACATCCATTTTTCAACAATGATACAGCTTTTTTAGTATCTTCGATATTAATTGTTGGTGGCTCTCCTTGAATCAGGACTTCATGTTGTTCTATGTTTTTGTATTCCGGTCTTTCTTCTACTAACAGTGTTTTATAGTGTTTTTCCCATTTTTCGGGCTCTATGGAGTATATGGCTATTTGTTCTGTTTTGTTGGATCTGATGTTTTTTATAAACCTCCAGGATTCTCTTGTATCTATCTAATTTGTATGTATCTAATTTCTGGCATTTTCTCTCCCAGCTTTGATTTTTTGACTCTATTATCGTGGATTTAAATTTATTTACCATTTCTCTATATTCTCTTTTGGTGTTCTTGATCCTTTGTTCCAGCCATCTGTTATATAATTTTTGCTTTTGTTCTTTCATTTCCTGTAGTTCATCATTCCACCAATTATTTGTCTTTCTCAGTTTGTTTACTCTTATGCCTAATGCTTCTTTGGCCGCTTGATGTATTCCTTTTCTTATTATTCTATGTAACTTTTCTGTTGTTTTATGTTTGAATTCCTGTGGTAGTTGTTGCTCCAATCTTTTTTTATACAATTCTCTAGTACTATCGTTGTCTAAACTTGTTAGATTATACTGCAGTTGTTCAACTTCTGCTGAGTGATTTTCATTTAGATTTATTTTGTTATTTATTTTGATTTAGATTTTTGTTTCATTATTAGGTAATAAATTACTGATAAGTTTCTTGTAGGCTGAGTCCATGTATATGTATGTATTTACTTCTTCTGGTTCCTATCAGTTTCGGATGTTGGAAATCATATTGGCAATCATAACCTTGCTCGCTGCGGCTCGAAACAGCTCCGTTGAGGTTTTCTTAATCCATGTTCTTAAATTCCGCAGCCATGATATTCTCCTTCTACCGGGTCCTCGCTTACCTTTGACTTTACCTTGCAATATAGACTGTAGCAGGGAGTAACGGTGCTGATTTCTCATAACGTGTCCCAGATATTGCAATTTTATGCGTTTGATCGTAAACACAATCTCTGGTTCCTTCTTCATTTTTCCTAGAACTTCCTTGTTCGTGATCCTTGCTGTCCATGATATTCTCAGCATTCTTCTATAAAGCCACATCTCAAATGCTTCAAGTTTTTTAATAGTGGTGCCTGTAAGCGTCCATGCCTCCGCCCCGTACAACAACACAGAGAAAACATAGCATCTCAAATGTCTTATTTTTGTATCAAGGGATACAAAATTTCCTTATGTTTGAAATACCCATACATAGTGAGTTGTGTACATTTCTATTAAGTTACTGCCATTGTCGTTTGTAGTGTTTTCTCCATATGGTCCTATTGTTTTATCGTTTATTCTTCTACCAGTTCTTGCATTGAGGTCACCTAGTATAATGGTTTCCTTATTGTTATAGGTTTGACCTATTTGAAAGTGAGTTTCATCTAGGACTTAGTATTTTATTTTTAGGTGTGCATCATCATTCGGACCATATGTGCCTATTATTGTTATTTTTTATCCTTTCAGGTTGAGGTTGATCGTTAGATTCTTTCATTTATTGCTTGCCAGTTCGATATATTGCTTAAACTGTTTTGTTATAATTAAAGCTTGGAATATCACAGTTATTGTTATCTATATATGACTTGGAGAAATGCTGTTTAAAAAAATTTGAAATTTCTGATGGATTGTTTGACTCATTGTTGTCATAGGTCATGTTTGATAAGTCATAATATTTATTTTTACTGTCTACATAACTCTTTGGAATTCTTTGGAATTAGTCATATTTTGTTCCAAAGTTTTTATGGTTTGACTTTTACATTGCTCAACTAAGACTTTGCATTCACTACGAATGTCTGAGAATAGTTTATAGTCAGAAAAATTATTAGTTTGTTTAAATTTTTTATGAGCTACTTTTTTTCTCAGAATAGCATTTTTCAGTTCAGTTGAATATGATTTTGGAAATTTTTGGTTTTTACATTTTTGTTTTGGTACATATAAATCTATGCAACAGTACAAAATATAAAAACAGGATATTGCTTTATTAACATCAGAAATATTGTCGAGTAAGTTGTCCCAGTTTACATTACCTAAAAATTGGTTTATTAAAATATAATTAGCCCTATTAAAATCGTAATAATAATAATAGTATTTAAGGAACTCAGTTTTATCACAATCAATACAGAAAGAAAGTGCTGGATGGTACTTATCACAGTTTAACAAACGAAAATAAAACATTCGATATTGTATTATTTTAAAAATAAGTTAAATTAAATAAGTTAAAATAAGCAATAAAATTTGACATACACTCAACAGATTCTGTAATATTACCAACTGGTCTTGATCCTAGATCTTCGTTCTCCCAAACTATGTTTGGTAGATTAAAATCACCCACTATGTTGGACATTGAAAAGTCATTATTTTGTATAATATTTTCAGTTGCCATAATAAAGTCCTCATAAACGCTTAATGGAGATGATGGTGGTATATATACACAGATAAAAAGGATTTTTTGATTTGGTGTTTGCAATTTTACATAAACACTTTCAATGTTGGTTGATTTTGAAGTGATTACTGAAGAAACAAATTCCTTTTTTACAGCAATTAGAGCACCACCCAAACGTTTAGCTGTATTGGTATTTTCATTTCTATCTCTGTATATATTGTACTCTGGAACTCTAAATTCTCCATTCTCTATACCATCATACAGAGAGGTCTCGGTTAATAGGAGCACATCCTAATCGTTGGCAATAACAGATGATGAAAAATCATTTAATTTGGTGCGGAGACTTCTCACATTTTGATAATAAACAGACTTTCCTAGTTATTCCTGCTTGATTGTCGTCTATCTTTTAGTTTTCTGAGAAAGAAACTCCTGAGTTAAAAACTCTTCTCTTGAAGTTAAAATGTCTAAAAATGATTCCTTTTGGCCAGAAATCACTAGTATTGACTTCATCATAAAATTCTATAGGTAGGCCTACTTTGAAAAAGCTAGTATTGCCCACGATTTTTATTTGCTCCACCATCACATCTTCAACCTTGAGGTTAGCCAATTTTCTTTGCATATAATTATTGATAAATGTCATTTGTGACTGTTTCTGCAGCTTTTCCTATGTAAAGCAACATTTTTCTAGGATTCGCGGCTACAAAGTTAGCGTCTTCGCTTCCTGCACCTTTAGTTGATGTATATTTTTGTCTAATACCAAAGATACCAAATATCTTTGTATTGGAAACGAGTCAGATAACATAGACCTCGAAAACGGACAACATATTTCCTGCTGTCAGAGCTGTGACTACTTGGGTGTTGCCTTTGACAATACAGGAACTGATACACAGGAAATAGAAAAACGAATCACACAAGCAAAGAAAATCTTAGGATGTCTCAATGGTATACTGTGGAGTAAAGAGATAACGAAAGGAAGAAAATTTAATATATATGAGACCATGATTAAAACATGGCTTCTTTATGGCGCTGAAACATGGAGAATTAGTGAAAAGAACAAAACGCGAATAGAAGCAGTAGAGATGGATGCAATGAGAAGATCTTTAGGTATTTCCAGACGAGACGACCGAATCAGAAATGATGTAATAAAGCAACGTATGGGAATAGAAGGAAATATAACTCAAGATATAGAGAAGAAACAATTAAGGTGGTACGGGCATGTTCAACGGATGCCAGCAACAAGACTCTCCAAAAAAGTAGTAGAATGGCAACCGATAGGTCGACAGAAAAGAGGAAGACCCAGATTAGAATAGCAACACGGCGTAAACAAGTCCATGAGCGAAAGAAATTTAACAACAAATGTCAGCAAGTCAGCCAAACATCATTTTGGCTGACTTGCTTACTTGCAGCTTCAGCTGCGGCTTTTTGTTCTTTTAGAGATTTTAAATTTACTTTGTATTTCTCTATTTCTTTGTTTTTGGCATCCAAGTCAATTTTCAGCAGTTTCAATTGCTCCTTCAGCTTATCTATCACAGCATCAGGTTGTTGATGTTCTTTTTGGCATTGGTCTAAGCAGAATATTTTTTGCCCCTCCACAATTTCCCAATCCGATCTCCTTTCCAAACAACTCGGGTGGAAAATATAAGCACATCTTATGCAGCAGTTCGAGAAAGTTTTGTTTTGACAACACTTAAACATTTTAAGAATTATCAACTGTAAAACTTGGCAATGCCTAAATTAACCTTTAAGAATCACGTTTCTAGAAAACTATTTTTATGCCGTATTTTTACTGATTGCGATACAATTTTTCTCTAGGATCACTTTAGAACTTCCAAAAAACAACTTTAGCACAAAATTTACTTATTTTCTGTACTTTAGACTACTAAAAAAGCACTACTTAATGATGAGAGATTTTTCTTGCTGTCATGTATAACTGTCAAAGAGTAAAGGCACATAGGTTATTAGTAATTAAATATAAAAAGGAAACAAAAACAACCAAGAAACAATTAAAACACAATAAAATTACACATTAAAAATATACAAGGTGATGTAAAATATAATTGTAAACAGAAAAATTATTTTAACATACTAGAATATTACAGTAGATATTGCTCAACTCTCCCGTGTCTGCCTTGTAATTTACTGCATATTTTTTTCTATTAATATGACACATTTCTAAAAACAATCTTTTTTGTAATTATTCTCTTGCTGTAGAACCCTGACATTTGAGTAGTCAAATTTATGCCCAGTTTTTAAGTAATGGTCAACTGCTGCACATGTATTCTTTTTTTTCGTGCAGTCACTTTGTGCTTTGTGGCCCTTTGTTTTAGCCATTGAGAAGTTTGGCCAATATAACAGCTCTGGCAATCAAAACAAGGCAGTTTGTAGATAACATTAGTTTTATTTACAGTTGGTGTCTTGTCTTTTACTTTAGAAAACAGTTGTCGGTTTTCTAATAAATTATATTGGACAATTTTAATGTTGGTAAATTGTTTAAATAAACTAGTCACAGAAGGTGTTAACTGTTTTATTAATGGTAGTTTTTTATATTGGATTGTTTGTACTGCTCCGATATCAGTGGGACCGTCAAAAATGTCTGTTAAATATCAATTTTTTAAGAATATATTTTGGGTATCCATTATTTTCAAAGATGTTTAACAGCAAATTTAAGTTTCTGTTTATGAATTTATCATCACTAATATGCCTTACCCTATTCTTCATTGCAATCACTGTACTAAACTTTTGATGAGTAGGATGATTTGAAAAAAAGTTTAAATATCTTCCAGAGTGTGTTGGCTTTTGATACCAACCTATCAATATTTTGTTTTGTTCAGTTATTATTAATTTGGTGTACAGAAATGATATCAAACAATCATTTTCAATCTCTAAAGTAAATTGGATATGTTTGTTAAAGTTGTTAAAAATGTTCAAGGTATTTTGAATTTGTGAAGTAGGAACAGAACATATAAGATCGTGTACACATTTTTTAATTTATGGACATTTGTAATAAGTTTCGGAAAAGATGTACTGTATATAGTCAGTTTTTTCTTGCAAATTCTTGATTTATTTCTAAGTTATTCCTCATAGCTTTAATAAGTTACAATTACCACAATTAACTTTCCCTTTGCCCTTCATTAAAAAATGTATACCTTGAACATTTTCAATAACTTTAACAAACATATCCAATTTACTGGATATGTTTTGTTTAAGTTATTGACTGAAAACATCCCATTCACGGTTATACTCCTTAACTATATATATATATATATATATATATATATATATATATATATATATATATATATATATATATATATATATATATATATATATATATATATATATATTATATATATATATATTTATATAGCAAAACGCAAGGGATATTTCACAGGATGTTTCAAAGTTAGGATTATAAAACCACGTTTTAATTAACTCCGTACAATGTCAAATATAAAATTTTATCAAAATACTGACTATACCAAATTGAAATGTATAAATTTATACACAGTGTGCTAAAAAATCATTATAGTAGGGCTAAAAATAAAAAAAATTGAAATATGTTGAATTGGACCAAAATTTTCTCAAGTGCGTTTTTTTGCGTCTGAGTGTATATTTGTAAAAGTTCAATATTTAGTTGTTATATTAGTGCAATTCAAATGTAAATCAAAATGTAAATAAACAAAAAACTAATATTTTAATTGCAGGAATTTAAACTATTAATAAACATATTGCGATTCACAAGTTTATTGATTGAACACTCATTTTCTCGACACTTGTATAACTCCATGGAACACTTGATAGTCTTACTTGGATCTAGCGATATGTCCGTCGTCATCGAAGTCTTAAATTTGCTGTATATGTTTTCCAAACGTAGTAATTTTCTTACTCGTTTAAAACCAGATGAAAAAGAATCCCTATTACCAAGACTGCAGTACATGTCAGAGGTAAGTATTAATGTATATGTATAAGTATTCATTCATTATATTACATCTAGTAGTTTTATTGTATATTTATATATACGAATATGTATTTACATATATATTGTTTGATTTAGTTTATGCTTTTCACATATATTACTCTTTTATAATAGACTGGTTACATATTTATATCTATAAAAGTGTTTTGAGCAAATCTAAAAGCTTGCAGCAGCTACTTTAATATTATGACCATTTAAGTTACTACCTCTCTTTATTTGTTTTATCATCTTTATGGACTCCCGCTCTCCACTGCGTGACATTTTACATACATATTTTGTCCTCTAAACCCCGTTTTCCTCTATTACACATCTCTAAAATGTATCTAAAAGAAATATGATTTCTAAAAAAAGCAATATCTATGTAATTTATTTTTCATCATCTCGACAACGATGTTTTGCAGCTATATCTCTCCATCATTTCATTTGCAGAACGTCATGAGGTTTTGACTCATTCGATTGTTCGACGAAAAGTAAAGCAATCTGAAAAGGACAAAACTTTATGCAATGAAAATCTCGTCGGCGCGGCGGTCTCGTGCTGCCTGTTGTCTGTTGGGTCATCATCTGATATGCTCATTGCTCAGGTTGTCTGGATGAAAAACCATATCAATGATGTGGTCGATAAATTCACTTTCTGAGTCATCGGCTGCTAACCACTCACGTATCTCTTCTTGGTTAATTTCGTCACATCCTGGCAAATTTTTTATTAAAGGTTCAATTTCTTCTTCAACATTTTTTTCTTCAGGATCGTCAATCAAAATCCCATCAAAAAGTTTGTTCCAGCTTTTTTCCAAAGTTGAAGATTGATTTTGACTCACGACTCAGCACACCAATAAAAAACATGTTTCATTGTTTAAGATTTGAGAATTTCGGCAACGCTTTTGGATTCCATCGTCTGCTGTAATAACAGATGACTTAAGAAAGTTTGCACATTGTCAACAAGAAGCAATGTTTTAATGGGAAGATTTTTTGATTTTAAAAAGGATTTTACATTTGGGACCAATTCATTTTTGTACCAGTCTAAAAATAAAGTGGTTGACATCCATGAACTTTTTGGCTTCTATAAAAAACTGGAAGTGCTTTTTCGGAAATATCTTTTAGAGCTCTTGGTTTTTTTTTTTATTTCCCAACACACATAGGCCTCAATCAGTGAGTTCCTGCTACAATTCTACAAAATAGAACAGTTATTCGTTCTTTATTCATTTTTAGGCCCCGTGCACTGTGTTTATGTTTTGATGCAGCATTTTGAAATTGAATCCAGTCTCATCTACATTGTAAATTTAATCTTTAGTGTAGTTCGCCAATAACTCATCCATTTCAGTTTTGAAAATGTTTACTGCATCATGATCAGCAGATAGCTTTTCTCCACTTGACGAATAGCGTACCTATTTTTCCATTTTTCTAGCCATTGCTTTAAATCCTTCACCTCATCATCTCGGATAACATTTTTGCCTTCTCTTGAATGATTGGTCCAGATAATGCTATACCTTTGGATCTTTGTTGTGTAAACCACAAATAGACTTCATTTACCTTCTCATTTTGACTTAGTATCATTGTTTTCTTGTTTGGCATTTTCGAAGCATGTTCCTCAAATTTGCTTTTCATTTTAACCCATTCGGAAGCTGTAGAAACGCAAACGCCAAAATCTGCTGCTCCTGTCTGTAAAATCTGTCCATTTTGAATTATTCGAATAGCCTCTAATTTCTGTCCAATCGCAATCACAACACGTTTCCGTTTGTTTGACATTTTCACACAACAGGTGATTTAATGAATTTAATTGCATTCTTTAGTTTGTGAAAGCAATCTTGACGATGTTGACAAATTAATGGAATTATTTACGTTTTGCGATAAAAATTTACTTGTTATTGACGAAATTATTGAAACTGTCAGCCGTTTCAGTTAAAAAGGTTTTGGTTAAGGGAGGTTTTACTGTATATTGTAACTAACCTACATATTTATTACTGTACTGTATTACTAAATTGTAATCATTTTTTATAAAATACGCAAACCTAACCTAACCTTCTGTAGTTGATGTGGTTGGTAATTTTAAATCGAGGTTTGTCCAAAAATATAAATTTTGCTGAAGAGTAGAGTAACTTTATTTTTGAGAGTAATTAAAAAGTTATCAATTACATCCATTTATGTTGAAAAATTATTTGATACTCTACAATAAACTTGTATGTCATGGATAAATACTGTCCACTACAAAATTATTTTATTGTTTTTAAACATAAGTCTACAATGATGTTGTGTGCCATGGATAGATACTGTCCACTACGCCACCGAATCCACAACAACAATAAAAATTTAACATTAAAAATATGAATTCTGGGTTTATAAGCTGTAATCTGAAATGTGTGTCTTTCTGATCAAATCATCAGTCATAAAGTCCATAAATGAAATGTTTATTATAAATACCACACCCGAAAGGTCACACAACTTAGAATTCCTTCTATACTCCATTCACGAATATACGACTGTTTTAAATTCGCTTTAAGATGTCGATTCAATTGGTCCAATGTACTGAATTGTACAATAGTAAATTCTCCCCATTTTTAAATACTGTTACGACAGATATAAACCTTAGATGGAAATATAAAGTCATGATATAAATATAAGTTAATAGTTTATAAAACAGTCGTAATTCAGATTTTGAAGTATATAATTACTATCATGGAGTTTATTTTTTCATTTCAATTATTTCATTGTAAACAAGTTGGTTTTTGAATTATGTGATTTAAACGAAATGTAACAATACTTAAGTGATCAAATAGTATAAATTTTTTAGTCGAATATTCAATTAATATTAAAAAAAACAAAAAATCTTACTTATTCACTTATTCCCTTATTCTTCTAAAACTATCATCAACGATCAGATTCACAGCCATAATCAGTCGGCGATATATGAAACTGTATATAAAATTTTCGTTACTTTTAATATCTGTAACGACTCGGTACTTTAACTATCAATAGCCGGTATGTTATACCCGTTACTTTCGTAACTTTTAAGAGTACATAAACTCAAAGTAAATAAATATTTTAAAACTAACAAAGTGAAATATTGGATCCATTTTCTGGTTTGTGAACCATCTTTCTGACAATTTCTTTTCATTTATATTACAAATAGTATATTTCTTTTTGTTACAGTTATAATACCTAATAAAGTAAGTAATAAAATCTGTTATATCAAAGAAACCCGGCACGCCTCTTTAGTGTTTACATTTCACGAAAAACTTACCGAAATGTCTGATGAACACATTTGGCTTCATAGACGTCATTGTATTTATTTGTAGATTTTAACTGAAATAATTTTAGTTTAGATATCATACTAGTAGACCCTTTTTATTGGAATAATGATTAGACCCATTGACATTCATACTCTACTTGCACAGTAAAATATTCGTTGTCGCAGTAAACCAAAACAGTCGTATATTCGTGGAATAGCCTATACCTGCTTTTTCTCTCTTAGTTCTCAGCTGTTGAAATTTATATACTATTTTCATAACCAGGTTAATTACAAAATTCCTATTCTGTATCTAATAATAAAAATAATTGCTGCTTTTGTGTATTTTATAGTTATTTACTCCATGAAAGTATAAATATCATTTTATAGTTAAGTTATAAATATCACTCAGAAATGCTAAATATGCAATTGCATACCTGAGCGAAGGCTATGTGGGTCAAACTAGAAAAAATATGTACAAACACTAATATAATTACTGTAACAAATTAATATTTTGAATGATTAGGTTCAACTGTACAAACAATTTGTGTATGTGTACAGATGCTATAATGAATAATATTTATTTAACAGAAAAAAACTTATTTATACAAAAAGGAAAAAAAAACAAATGTGAAAAATGTCAGTGTGAAGGGGTTACAAAATGGTTCCCAAAAATTAGATTTTTTAATTTTCGTTTGAAGTCATTGATGTTCATTGCCTTCACTATATTCGGGATAAGGTTGTAGTACTTTATTCGTTGTTCTGCAGTTATGTTCATTACTGTAGCTCTAGATTAGATTAGAGATTAAGAGAGATTCCCCTTCGACCTTTTCAGATCTATTGTGGTCCTCCAGTCCTAGATAACATTCTCTAGCCTGACCCCTTTTATAAAGTCTAGTAGCTTGGAGACTGTACCTTCCATGTAGCTATTTGCCGGTGGATTTTCTTCTCCTAATGCAAAGAACCGCACATTTGCCAGACTGTCACAATGACATAAAATGTGCTCTGCTGTTTCTTCTTCGAGGTGACAGAATCTGCACAGGTCATCAATTGATAATCCGATCAGCTTCAAGTGCCATGTTAGAAGACATACTATGGCTTTGACTTTTTTCCTGTAAATTTTGGCAAACATTCTGTAATGAGCTGTTTCCCCTGTTTTGTCCTGGTGAATTCCTCCACCATTCCTACTATTCCACACTATCGGCTTTCAGCTCCTCGATTAGTTTTCTGTTGTCAGTACTATGCATCTGGCTTATATGTCGCTGACTATGTATTAATCTGTGCATCACTGATCTGGCTTCGCCCTGTATAAAGATATGAAGTGCTGGTAGATTGAGCAGGACTTCCAATGATGCAGTAGGAGTTGTTTTACGGCCCCCATAATACACAGGCATGCTAGCCTTTGTATATTACCTATCAGATTTATTGCTTCCACTTGCTGCGTCTTTGTCCACCACGTCACCGAGCCATAGGTTATCATAGTAATTTTGGGGTTAAGTCCCCAATTCTTACCGCACATTCTTCTACATCTGCCAGGGACGTATTAGACAGTAGCGCAGAATTGACATTCAAAAACATCAAGTTATGTCATGTCCAATTGATCAAAAATACACCATGGACTTTAGTCAGCTTTATCAGTTTCTTTTTCTTGTACTGGTTGATTTTCAATAGTACAATCTTCTTGTTCTTTAATTATAGAAGTCACCAGCTTCTTAACTCTTTCTTTTGTTTTTTTTAGCTTAATTTTTATTAGAAAATCCCTGCGCTTTAAATCGTGAATCCATAAATGTATATAATGACAATGTGCCACTCTGTTCTATCCCTCTAAAAAATTGTTAAACCCGATATTAGTAATTGTACTACGTTGGATACTATGTATGTAAGGTTACCGTTTGTTAAAATTTTATTGCAAGATTCTTGCAGGCAGCGTACCATAACAATCACTGAACTACTCTTCAAGTATTTTTGGCCACTCATTGTACTTGTTATTTGTTTAAAAGGCCGTAAAATTTGGGAAAGTTGAGAACAAATAATCCAGTCTTCATTATTTAGATTTGGTCTAAGTCTGTATAAACTAATACCAATGTGGAACGAATTGCCTCTTCTAGCTCGGTCACTCTTTTTAACATATAATAGGTGAAGTTCTACATAGTTTCCTTCATCTAGTCTTGGATTGGCCGTTTGGGAACTTTGTTATGTCGTAGTTGATACTTTAAAAGTCTTTCTGAAGATAAGGTATTTTTTTAAAATGTGTTTTTTGCGGAATTGTCGAAAAAAGACTTTTTATTTTATCTATTTGTACACGACAGCATTTAAGTGCGTCCCCCACCAATAAATTTAACATATGAGCAAAACAATTTAAATGTTTTCATTCCAAAACATCTTTAATAGCTTTGACCATATTTGAGGCATTATCAGTTACTGCAAAATTTACTTTTCGTTTTAGACCCCACTGATTAATAATTTCACTAATTTCAAAAGAATGTTTTCTGAGTTTATGATTTCCAGAAAAATGGCAGCAGCCTAATAAAACCGTTTTAAATTCTAGATTTTCGGTTAAATATTCTCCTGTTAATGCGATGTAATTCTCATTTACTCCAGATGCCCAGAGGTCAGTAGTAATACAGATATTTCCTACTTCTTTAACAACTTGTGATCTAATAATTTTCTCAGTTTTGAGTTGGAGGTTTATATCCAGGAATCCACCCTGCAAACTTTTTAAAAGCTCGTTCTTCAACTATGGAAAATGGATGAAACGAGTCTTCGCATAGGTTTAGTAAATCCATATCTATTTGTTTCTTTTGTTCTAAACTAATATTTTTATTAATTGAAGTATCCATCACCTTTTGACGCTTGGGTGGCGGTGTCAGTATGTCAGTACTTGTAGTAAAAGTAGTCGAAACGGACAGAAATGCGTCAGGAGAAGTTTCAATCATTGCAATATTCAGAAAGTGGACCATAAAAGCTGCATCCTCTACAAATGTGCATTTTTTGAAAATAAAATTATTATTTTTATGCTGGGTCAATAATTTTGACTAAGAAAAATAATTCTTAATTTACTATTTACAATAAATAAATCCTTTGACGAACTATCAATAAAGATTTGAAATCGAATACGCAGATCAATCGTAAATCGAAACTCATTAATCAGAATACCTAGTTATAAAAATAAAAGAAATAGTTAAGAAGATGGTTATTTCTATAAAAAAAAAGACAAAGAAGATTGTACTATTGAAAATCGACCAGTACAAGAAAAAGAAACTGATTTGAAACTGAAAGAAACTTGATGAATTAATTGGACATGACTCATCCAAACATACACCTGTATCGAGAGATATAAAAGAAGTCGACATGTATTTGTCTGATGATATATTACCCACAAAAAATTTCGAACAGAGATTGGAACAGTCCATTAAAGTGGTGGAAAACCATCTCCATGTTTACTTACACTTACACCACTATATTCATGAATTATTGTAGTATTGTAACAAAATCTGTTCCTTATGAGCACATGTTCAAAACCTGGTTTAATTTTAAATAAAAGAAGAACACGGTTAACAAGAAAAGTGGAAAAACTTATGTTTTTAAATGTCAATTTAGACGATTCGCGATTTAATAATGTGTAATGTAAATGTAAGTACTATTTACTATTTGTATTGTTTAATTTATTTTTCAAGTTATATAAAAAATATATCCTTCGTTAGTTTCTTTCACTTCAATACCTATACACATAAACGATAATAGCCAGTATGTTTGTTCGTGTACTCGCTTATTTGAAACTTCTGGTAAACAATCAACTAGTTACAGTTTACGAAAAACGGTTCTGATAAACATGTCAACGATCCACCTCTAGTTTCTTAGGTATATTAGGATCGGAACGAGAGATATGTAAAATATCTCTGATCAGAACTAATTGTCTCACTAATGGACAATGGGCGTCAATGAGAAATATGGAGGGGAGTATCCTGTTAAATTTTACCATACCGACCATAAACTTTTACCTACAGTGTATAAACTGTGTTTTTAATTGTGTTAAAAAATTTTAATAACATTTTTTGGTATTGCCAAAAATGAAGGTAATTTACTCTTTACAAAAATTCATATTTTTGTCCAAACCTCGCATTATAATGTATACTTGCAAACCTATACCTCGCAAACTTAAAAAAAATATATACTTGCCAGTTTTGACTATTCTGAACTTAATGCTATATTTACTGTTTTATAGAATTGGGGAGGCAAAGATACTGGTTTTGGATTGGCAGATTGCTGCACACTTGACAAGGAAATTCCTCATTCAGCCACAACATTACATGTTGAGTTTCACAAGGACGACTACGACTATGACACAAAATCAACCAAACCAACGTTACAGATTATACATATAGAGCATATAGATAAATTGAGATTGTCTCCTGCTGAAATAATGAAGCAACTTGTGTCAATGTACTACATACCCCGCGAAAAAGAGGTACAAATTTGATTACATAAAATAAAATATTTATTTTATTGACATATATTTTTGTAGGTGTGGTTATTCACGCATGTGAGATTAGCAATTCATTTTGGTCAGTATAAACGTAGACTAAAAAGTGTCCAAGCGAAACTACAGGCGCTATCAATACTAGTATATTCGAATGCAATTGCAGAATCTGCCCCAAACCTATTGCATAATAGTCTTCTAGAAGAATTGGTGGAAGTTGTGGAACTACAAGACCCGCAATTAACTGATATTAGGTGTGCAGCTTTACGCACTCTAACTGCTATTATTCACTTAGATCGAAATCCAAGTGTTCCCAAGTAAGTATTTTTTTTTAACTTCACTTTTCTTTTTGGTACTAAATAATTGACTTTCTGTTCTAAAAAATTGTGGAGTCATTTTACTATTATGTCTATTGCAAATATTGTGCAGTAGAAGTCTGTCATTGACCACACGTCTAAGAGTATTGAAGTGTCTGGTGTGCTTTGTTCTATGTGTATGAAAACTGAACAACAAAATAAAAAGTCTTAATCAAATAGAACCGTGCGAGTTGTGATGTTACCGTCGCATGCTTAGAATCCCGTGGACAGCACACATATCTAACGAATGTGTGTTAGAGACCATACACAGCGAGAATTAATCATCACCAAAATGAGAAAGGTCCAATACTTCGTCATATGAGAGGCTCTAAATATCGCTTACTCCGGTTAATTATTCAGGGCAAAATCGATGGAAAACGCTGGGTCGGAAGAAAACGATTGTTCTGGCTATGTAACATTAGACAATGGACAGGTCGAACCATTGAGGAATTGTTACATGTCTTCAGCTTAATACAAGTTGTTGTTGATAGCCAACGCTTGAAAATAAGCACGGCACACAAAGAAGATTGCAACTGGATTTTTGCATATATGAAACTCAAAGAAAAACATCATTCCCAGTCTTTATTTCTATGTCGGGACGGCTTCGCTAACTACATTTTGCCATAAGTTTGTCTTAGATCACATCAATAGTAATAATTTCTTGGTCTTTTTCTCATAATCCATGATTATAATCATAAGTTTACAGTATTGGATGGTTATCATTTCGTCGTTTATTGCTGAAACCAAATGAAATCTCTGAATTTCAAAAGTTCTAATTCGGAATAGAACATTATTTATTCTGTTTTTAATTCCATACGAGCATTATCTTTGAAGTTTAGGAGAAAGACTTACCTCGTTGTGAATTATATAACCAGACAAGATCAACTACTTCGAAGCTTTTATTCATGGATTGAGAATTATATCCATTCTATCACGTACTATCATTATACCTTTCATCATATTACTGACTATCTGAATATGTTTTCATGAATTTATGTTGCTCATCATTCACCTGTAAAGTTTTCTTCTGAAGGTTGCTTCAGGCTACAGATGAACTCAAGACCAAACGACAGACTTTACTACTCAATATTAAACAAACTAGGGTGTGACTAGTAGTTTCATTTACAGCCTATCGGCAGACCATTCTGATGAGAATCTAAGGGTCTCCTTCTGGTCTTATTGGCGTCAATCAATCGGCACATATTTTGGAATAGTGTAATTGATTATTTCATCATCATCATCTTTGTCTCGACAATCCTCTGTGTATCTTGGCCTGCTCTAAGATTCGTCGCCATTCTGTTCGGTTTTTGGCAACATGTTGCCATCTTCTGATTTTTAATATTCGTAAATCGGTTTCTACTCCATCTAACCACCTAATTCGCGGTCGGCCTTTGCTTCTTTTTCCTACAGGTGTTCCTGTGGTTAGCTTTTTAGCAATGGTATTATGTGTCCAGCCCATCTAAGTGATAATTTCGCCTGTCTCCAAAACGGCTCAAGAATTCCTTAACTAGTATATATGCAACTCTAGGTTTGCTATCCTGGTTTCAGAAGGCATATGCCACAGACCATTTTATAAAACAATCGATTGTCACTAGGCTATATTTATTTTCAGCAGCCATTTCTCGAAACAATCCAATAAATATGACTATTTTCTCTATAGGGCTACCAAAATTGTACTGTTTCATGGGTGTCCTTTTTTTACCAACTGGATCATTGCCTGTTCCAGATAATTTTCATAATCATTTTAGATATTTGCAGTTCTCCCCCATTAGGACCATTCGAGAATTTTTTGTAATGTTTTCGTAATGTCAAAGTGTCCACCTGATACATATCTGATGACATTTTATTTTAGTTACAATTAGCTGTATATTATATCCTCTACCGTCCTAATTTTTAAAAGTTCTATTCAGACGATTGTCTTTTAATATCGGGCAATTCATTGGCCCCGATAGGCTTTAACTTGTCTTCAAGTCCTTGTACCTTGCCAGCTTGATATTTCACCTTTATGCTATAAATTCAAGACACGTTGAGGGCTCATTTCATAGGGATCATTTTCTTGGGTGGGTACCTTTTATATGTTGAGGTTGCCATTGATCATTGGTGATGGTACTCTGAATACATACTATATGTTTGGGTTTTATTGAAAGTAGGAGGCAAGTAACATTTGTTAGAATTCTTTTTTCTAAAATATTGACTTACATTTTCTAAAATAATAATTACAAAAAATACGGCTTACATTTTTTTTATCTGATACAAGCTTACCTCTGTTGTTTTTTGGGGATACTTACGTAATTTTGTCCTAGACAAATTAATAGGAAGATAATTACAAATCAGTAATTTATTATTATTTATCACTATTAGATTTTTTCTAGGACTACCACAAAAATATTTTGTATAAAACAACCTTTTCTGAATGACTTTTGTATTAACATATTTATTACACTAATATCTAGATTTATTTAAACAAACACCACACCACACACAGTGTTTTCTTAAATATGCATTATTAAGTTGAGTCATTATGCATGGCAATTTTAATTAGTTTTTTTTTTAATTCTACTCTTTTATATCTTTGACAGTCGAAGACCAGGAACACGGTTAAATAACATTATTGACGTAACGGGAGCAAGCCAGTATCATGGATTTTTGCCAGTCTTGGTTAGAAATTGTATTACCTCACTTACAAACCAATTTGATTTCCAAGGCACTGAAAAATATAGCCAATTTCCAGTGAGTTTGACAACAGCTTTGTTTTCTTTTTTATATCACCTGGCCAGTTACGAATCAGGAGGTGAAGCTTTAGTATCCTGTGGAATGATGGAATCTCTATTACAAGTGATAAACTGGCAAGGATTTGCGTTAGATCATATAACATTTGTAACACGTGCTGTACGTGTAATTGATTTAATTACTAACATTGATATGGCAGCATTTCAAACTCATGGGGGTTTACATAGTTTCATAAACAGATTGGATAATGAAGTTAACTACTGTCTACCACATCAGCATTACCAAATTCAACACAACACTACCGTTGAACACGATGAAAGTGCACCTAGCACTTCTAGAGCACCAGATAAAGGAGAGACTCTTTCTGTGGACATAGTACATCTTCCAGAAAATGAGGGCAAAATCTGTCTTCCACAAAGAGCAGCTTTACTAAAATCAATGTTGAACTTTTTAAAAAAAGCGTTCCAAGATTCCACATTTGCAGAAAGTATTAGGCATCTTATGGAAGGGACTTTGCCTGATTCACTTAAAAATATTATTGCCAATGCAGAATATTACGGTCCATCCCTATTTCTACTTGCTACTGATGTAGTCACAGTATATGTATATCAAGAGCCAGCATTACTTTCTGCTTTACAAGACAATGGATTAACTGACATTGTACTGCATTCCCTGTTAGTAAAGGATGTACCTGCAACTAGAGAAGTTCTAGGCTCTCTTCCAAATGTATTTAGTGCTTTATGTTTAAATACGAGAGGACTAGAAGCCTTTGCGAAGCTTAGACCATTTGAAAAGCTTTCTAGCATATTAGTATCGCCAAAATATTTGCCAGCTATGAGAAGAAGACGTAGCTCTGAACCAACAGCTGATACAGCTTGCAATTTGGGCAATGCCATGGATGAACTAATGCGACATCAACCTAGCCTAAGACAAGACGCCACTAGGGCTATAATGCTTTTATTAAATGATTTAATTCAATTGGGAACTGATCCTAATAATATTTGTTGCAAAGGACATAACAAATCGGAAATTTCACCATCTTCTTCATCTAGATTAAATACAACAAGTAATGAAGGCTCTTCAGACGAAGAAGAAGAGGATGAAGATGAAACATCAACATCATCTCAAAATCACTCTGATACTCAAACTCAAGTTAATAGTGAGAGAACGCCTATTGCTTTAGTAGATTATATCCTCAATACGATGAAGTTTATAGATGCTATTTTAAGTAATAACTCCACTGATGATCATTGCAAAGAATTTGTAAGCAGAGGAGGAATTTATCCTTTATTAAAAGTTCTTGGATTGCCTAACTTACCAGTTGATTATCCCACAACAGTGCCAGCTCAAGCAGTAGCTTCTGTCTGCAAGAGTATATTGAACTTATCACATGAACCTTATCTATTCTCCCAAGGACTTGATCAACTGTCTCTTGTGTTAAACACTCTTAAGCCATTATGTACAAAAGAAGAAGTAGCTGGTGGTTCTAAACTACTACTAGAACTAGCGAAGGCTCCAGATCTAGAGACTGCTTTTAGTACATATAAATCTACTCCCCTATTACATGCTATGGGGGCTGTTCATGGATATGTCATAATGTTTGTTCACATTTGTCGAACTGGTCAAACCGAAATAAGAAATCTTTCTTTACAACATTGGGGCTCTGAAAATGGAAGAAGAGTTTTAAAAGGATTATCTGATTTATATACATCATTAGTTTGGGAAAGCACTCTTCTATTGGCATACTGCAGTGACGACTTACTACCATCTGGTTGTGATGTTACCAAAGAAGACATTGGAAAATTGAATGCATTCTTTGAAAAGGTAAGCAAAAATAATCATAATTCATATACAGTGGTCTCTCTTTATAACGATTCCCTATATAACGATAATTCCCTATAACGATGAAAATAGTAAACCTTGTTGTGCTTTTCAATGTTCAATAGTCGATGGCAAATGTATTATTGTGTTTAAAGCCCAGATTACCTCAGTCACGAGTGGCAAGGTCATTGTCTAGCAGCTTTGTTTATCGCTTAATGCATGCGTCCACCCCTACTACTTATTGTTATCCAAGTGTTGAGTGAAAAGCTTTGATTGTTTGCGCGGCGTGCCTGTTTTCGCGTGCGACTTTCCACTTTCAGTCTGAGTTATGTCTCAGTGTGTGAACAGTCAACATGTTTTCGAAATAGCGTAAAATGCTCTCGGTGGAAGAAAAAGTATTGATAACTCGAAAAATAAAGAAAGGTGAAAAGCAATCAGATGTCGTTTGCCGTACGTGGCTGTCTCAGTCAACTGTGCCTACGGTATAGAACGACTTGGAAGGCTTGAAGCGGAAATGGAGGGCGGTAGCAGAAAGAAGTTGCGGAAACCTCAGCACGAAGATTTAGATAGCGTTATGTTTCAGTGGTTCCAGCAACAGCGTATGAACCATATTCCACTTTCGGGACCTGTGGTCAAGACAAAAGCTGAGTTTTTTTCAAATGAGCTTGAGAATTTCAAGACAAGGTTGGCTGAGCGCTCCTTATAGCGATGAAAATTTGCGGTCCCTTGCATATCGTTATAGATAGAGAGGACTGTATTGAATTTCGCTTAAGTTATGTTATAGCTACATTTGTTAAAATTTTCTTCTGTGTTGATTTATTAAATGACCTACAACTTATCAAATAAGATCATAAAACTTTCTTTTCAGGGGTACTGAATACATAATCAGCTCTCTTGTCACACTCTTTATACTTAGTTCTATAGATACTTACAATTTCATTTTCTTTGTTATCTACTATTCTTTTTTTTTATATGATCCATGTCCCAGATCTTTTTTTCTTTAATTTTAATGCGATGGTTGGGCATGAAGTTTATTATCATTTTAATCTTAGGTACGTTCGTACCTAAGGCCTGTTGTATTCCTCGATATTCTATATTGAGAGTTTTCATACTTTGTAGATGGTCGTTGGTTCCGTAACCTTTTCTGAATCATACCCGTTTTGTAGGTTGATAGGTCTATAGTTCCGTGGCTCTCGGGTAAAAGGGCATATCTATGCAAAATGAAATTATTCAGAAGACGAAATTGAAATTCAAAATTTTTCTAAAATCAAATGTGTTACTTTAGCCATTGTTTGGCATGTTATAATGAAAGAGAATGTAATAAACTAACTTTTGCTGTATATAAACAATTCATACCTTATTCTAATATAAAGTTAGTTGTTTTCTTCATCAGGGTACTCAGATATATCCTTTTACTCAAATGTAAATATGACTTATGTAGTTTGCACTACCTTAATGCTGAAAGGCTGATATTAATAAAACGGCTTATTTACTACTAATGGTTTCTATTGTAATCAAGAATGGAAAAGAAAGTGAATATCGAAATTAAATTATTGTGCGCTGCAAAAAGGGGTCATTCTCCATCCAGTAAGATGTCTTCAACATTTTCATCTGATAAAAAAAAAGTTCGTGTAACCTTCTGGCTAAGGTCTGGTGCTAGGGTTTTTAGATCGCGCAAGCATCCATAACAACGACTACTTTCGTAGCCGCGACCGACGGCTTTACGTACCCTCCGAAGCCCTCCGTGACAGCTTAGTTAAATTAGAAATTGAAAATTTTGTGGGTGCCGGGATTCGAACCCGGGCCCTCCAGCTTGTTAAGTCAGTAACATAGCCACTGAGCTACGGTTGCCATTTCCATCCGATGGAATAGACCTATAGTAGTCGTGGAAGACATCGGGTATTAGCAGCAGCATGTCAATGAGGTTCTTCTTATTCGCTGAAATTGCGAGAGGACCACCGTAGGACAGTTCAGGGTTCAGATGGCTGCGGAAACGGCGATAGTTTATTGTCTTTACCGACGATTCCGGATCCAGTGTCTCCTTGTAAAGGACTTTTCCTGTCTCTTTTATGTAACGGAGCCACTGTATGTCTCTCCATGTAACTTTTTCCCCGTCTTCGTTTACTTTTTTATTTTGAAGTGCCGACTTGTACAAATCAGAGAATTGTAAAAAGTCTGTCTGCTTCATTTCTGTCACAACAAATGGGTTTTTCTTCCCCATCTGACGAACCAAGTGCATCCAGTCGTGCGGGTGATAGATTGGGATATTTGATTTTTTTTCCTTTTTTTCTATCAAAGCATGATCAGAGTCACACTAAATATGAGTGTGACCAGGAACTAGAAAGTTGTGTTCAATCACCTCTATTGGATGGTCGTTTATGACAGACATTAACATGTCAGCTACATGCGAGTTCTTATTCTGTCCTCCATATGTGTCTGACCACAAGATTACCTTCTTCACATGTGGTGGAAGATTCAAGAGATGCTTCTGTAAACATGAAGCAATTTGGTTGCCTCCTCTTACAGCTTCTACTTCATTCCACATGTACCAGTTCGCCTGATTATTCGTGCAATCGTGCACAGTTAAATTAAATACCCAGAGTTGCCTTTTGTAAAAACGACTGAAGTTTCTAGTTGGGGAGTCGGCATGTGAAATATCTTTGTGTAAACTGATAGGCTAACTGGTTTGAACGTTGCATCTATGAGTTATATTCGGCATAGCATTTTATTATAGTGTAATGCGATGACAAATACTTTTTTGCTGTGTGATCTGCTGTCGGGAATAGTTACTGCGATTCGATGGTATCGAGAGTAGGTGACTTCTTACCCTTTCAATTTCGTCATCACATATTTTGTTTGGAGGTGTATGTTTACCAAGCTGGTCATCATTGGGTATTCCTGATGTACTTTCGGCTACTTTTTTATAGCGCTTGTTAAAAACTTCACCGTTTCACCAAAGGTATATAGGAAGCATTTCTTACAAACAGGCTGAAGATTTCCATTAATGCGTAGACTGTACTTATGAGTTAAATTGCGATTTTTTTGTGTTCCTGTTTTCTTTTTAATCCTGTTTTTGTCTTCTTTGGCTCGGTAGTTATTAAATTTGCAATATTTGCAATTTCTTTGAGATATTAATAAAATTAAGTCAAACAAAAAAAATAATGAAATAACCGATTTTACATTTGAGTAAATGAACGTAATTCGTGATATCTTCGTTTTTTCACATATATTTAAACACTTTATACTGATTAAATTTTGGTAAATGAAATTATGTCTGAATATCTCCTTTTATCTAATCATAATTAGTAAATTTTGTGCATCTGATTCCACTAAACGAAAATATCTCTAGATATCCCTTTTTACCCAAACGTAATTCTTGCATTCTCGGTTCATATATGATTCAGGTAAAGAGAATTATCTACTAATATAACATTTTACTCCAATTTATTTTGTAAATACATTTGGAAACTAAAGCATATCTGGAATTATTCCTCTTTACTCCATTGTAAATGTTGATTTTGTTCAATGGCTCCCTTTTCACATGTAAAAATCTAATGGAATTATTTTGTAGATATATTCTTTTACCCAAATGAAGAGCAGAAAATTTACTTTATTTTCACATTCTTAACTCATTTTGGGAAAAAATTCGAGATATGCCCTTTGACCCGAGAGCCACGGAGCTTTCTTTCCATTCTCGTACTTAACTATTATTCTAGTATGCAACTTTTAAACGTGACTTGCCGAAACTTATCAATATGTAATTTTCTAAATTTGTCTTGCCTTTATTTATATGAATTAAAATAATCGTGGCTTTGCTCCACTTGATTTTACCTGGTTGATTTTTGCAAATTACAATTTCAGTTTACTTTCACTGTCCAGCAGCATCCAGACTGCGAAGTAGTTCATTCGCTATTTCTTCTAGTATAACTCCTGGTCAATTTGTGTTAATTTTTGCTATTATGTGTTACCCATTCCAGCTAGCTTTTCAACCCTTGATGTAAGACAAATGACGTTTTTTTTCTTTAATTTTTATTGTTTCCCAACTGCTGTCTTTTAATTTTGCACTACTATACATTGTACTTAAGTTCTGATACAATTTTTGTAGCTCTTTATAACTTATTCATTGAATTTTTGGTAATGGATAAAACCTAAAAAATATTAAGGTAGCATAGATGAAAAATTTTATTTTATATTACTAGTGAATTATCCTCTTACTCCATTGATCCATATCTATCTTTCTATACTTTCACACTTTCATATCTATATAATTTGATTATCTTCAAGTGTTCCCTTTTGATTTTTTGTCCCCTATTTACAAATTATGTGTAGTAGAAAAACAAAGTATTTTAATAAAAAACAAAATTTTTGTTTGTTGTAGTGTGAAGCTTTTCCACCTGCAGATGCATCTTCAGCTCCCCTTGATGTTTTCGTGGCTAATCCAATAACGATGGACATGGATCCCGATTGTACCGCTTTTAATAAGTCACAACGTCACTACAAATATATTAAACCTTTATTGGGTGCATCATCCAGGTTGGGTAGAGCTTTAGCAGAACTATTTGGGTTACTTGTAAAACTTTGTGTTGGCTCTCCCATCCGCCAAAGGAGAGGTCAGAATATAGTAGCAGCTCCTCCCATGCCATCTATGTTTGCAAGGAATGTTGCTTCAGAGTTAAATCTGCTTTTAGCGGAGGGCTTAGATTGTGACAGGCTCCCTCCATGTCCATCAGTGAAATGCAGACTTACATTTTTGATTTGTAGTGTTGGTTTTACTGGTCCAATGCTATTTGATGAAAGAAGATACCCTTACCATTTAATGCTTAAAAAATTTGTGACTTTGGGAGCACAAGAAACATTTTTTAATGCATTTAGTTGGGCTGTAACAACAGGCAAGTTTAGAAGCGTTGCCGAAATTCAATACTCATCTCTCCCAGAAGGTAAAGTAGATGTTTATAAGCAAATGATTGTTCATTCAATGTATTTATTTTTTTTTTAGGCACAATTGGATTTTTGGATGCTTGGCTAACACTTCTTGAAAAAATGGTCAATCCCAAAGCTATATTGGAATCTCCTCATGTTGTTTCGAGTCGGCCTGGACAGAATTTTAATTTTGATCCATTAAAATATTTACAACAAGTTCATAAATTAGCATTTGAAAGTATAATGGTTCTCTGGGGTAAACCTGTACCTTCATATTGTTCTAGAATAACGGAAACTACATTGACCATATTAAGACATATTTTCCGAGGGGAAAAAATCATCAAGGATAAAATGAAAGCCGATGAGAGTAAAAGTGACGCGTCTTCTAGCTCCTCTAGCGGCCCTGAATTAGGCAATGCACTTAGGAATGTAATCAGAGTCAGAAATTTGGATGATGAATTACAACATCTTATGGATATGGGTTTTTCTAGAGAACACGCAACTCAATCTTTAATACATTCACATAACTTGGAGCAGGCTACGGATTACTTGCTCTCCAATCCCCTTCATTTATCTAGGCCTGGTGCTACTGGTCAAATGGATGTAGAGACTGACGATGAACAAATGTTACAAGCTATTGCCATGTCTTTGGGATGTAGCAGTTCTGCATCACCTGATACTAAAAAAGATACCAAAAATGATTTAAAAGATCTCAAAAAGGAAGACTGCTCTACACGTTCATCATCCTTTGAATCTATGCTAAATGATTTTACTCAAGATGCATTTGATATATGTTTAAATCTGCTTGATTCGCTTCCAGAAACTGTTCACAAAGTATGTGAACTTTTAGTTACTTTAATGAAAAGAAATGGGCGTAGTTATAGAGATATGGTCTTAATGGCGCTTGTCGTGAAGATCCAAACTTGTGTTACATATATTTACTCGTGTGCATTTGAAAATAAATCAGTTATAATGACTTACTATGTTTTGACTGACTCTGAGCTAGCAGCAAAATTAACAAACTATGTTCATCTGTTTATATTACTGTTCGAAGTACCATCATATTATGACATGAAACTACCATGTTTTAATGCTATTAATGCTTGTGAGGTAGTGGAACATATTATAGAGTTAGTTTGCAGTACAGTTGGGATGTTGTCGACGTTACAACGAATGGAAGAACCCAAATGGCTCGCTCCGTGTTTATTACTATTAGATGCAGTTTCAAAAGTTGCAACATCTACGACAAGGAAATATTACATGCATAGAACAACTACTCGTATTTGGAGATGGTATGATGTAGTTACAGGGAAGTGGACACGCTATTCTACAAATAATAATCAATTAATAAATGAAGCATACTGGAGTGGAGAACAATTCGTAAAAGTTACTTGTGGTAGAAAAAGATATACAATTTCATTTTGTAATATGTTACAAATGAATGATGAGACCGGAAATAGTAGACCAATTTCAATGATTCCTGCCACATTGACACATCCAACTTGTACTAATATTCACGGACCAGACATACCTAGACCGTTGCATATATCCCTTAATGACAAAGAAGAAAAAAGATGTTCTCTTGTCGCAGATCTTAGCCAGAAGCAAAAACATCAAATTATTGTAGCATGTGTGAAATTATTACATCTTCCAGTAGAAAAGAATCTTTTGCATTCGATTTTACAAATTTGTGTAAGATATACCAGAGACTTTGTGCTTGCTACACTCTTTGTAAAAGAGGGAGGTGTTAAATGCTTGTTAAAAATGCGTCAAATCACTGATTTTGGAGGTTTTGGTATATTAGCAACAATTTTGATTAGACATGCTTTAGAAGAGCCAAATACGTTAAAATATGCTATTGAAAAGGTAATTAGGGCACGTACCTTAGCCACAATCCCTCCCCCATATAAAGACTTGATCTATTTATCAAGACAAGTCGGTGGAGCTGTAACTCGCTCTCCGCAGTCATTTTTCCAAGTAGCAACAGCTATTTTAAGGATAGACACAGTTGCTGCTAAAGGCGAAGATCCAGAAAATGTTATTCCTTTAAGAGTAGAACCACCATCTCGTATGAAAGCACCGCCATTAGAGGAGCCTGTGTCCATAGAAGTTATCTCCGATTTGTTAGATGCCTTATTAAAACCTCTAGAAGATGATAAAGGTATGGACACAAGTGATGATTCATCAGAAGATTCAAATCCGTTTGTTTCTCTTGCAGAAATTTTAAGAAGACATGAAACTGAAAATGCCGAAACCAGCACTAATGAAAATACTTCCAATAAGAAAAATGAAAGTGCTGTTCCTAAGAAACGAATGTTACCAAAGTCGGTTATCTTGAAGATATTAGCAGACGCTGTAGTATCGTTTGGCCCGATTGCCAAACTTATTACTGATTATAAATACAAACCTGATGAATCTGGTACCATAACTGAAGACACGTCAGCACTAGCTTTCATTTTTGATAAAATATTGTCGGTAGCAGATAACTTTTCTGATTTGGATTGTGCTGCCATGGGAAGAATGCTAGTTGCAGCTTTAGCTTCTTCCAATCATTCACCAGAAGCTCAAATTACTTTAGTCTCTGAGGTAAAAGTGGCTCTAACCAGAGCATTATCGTTACCAGAGTCTTACCAGAAACATAATCAGGTTCAATGTATTTGTGACATTATCTCCAATATGATCGACAATTGTCCTTTGTCCCATGCTACTAGGTGGACAAATTGCAGTATTAGCAATATCGTTAAGCTTTTGATGCGAAGGGGAATATTTAATGATTTAGCCAAGATTACGCACTATTTAGATTTGTCATCACCAAACACAGCATTTACTGCAAATTTGGCATTAAAGCCTTTAGAATCTCTATCAAGAATTATTAATCAGCCTGCTGCTGCTAATAACAGTAAATCAAGAAAAAATCAACCAACAGCTGATGAGAATCCCATTGCTCAAAGTGGTACTTCTACTGAGGGTACTAATGCCCATGGAGAGGAGATAGAAGATTCCGAAAATACAGAGCATGACCCATCTAGTCTTGACAACACCACTAGTTCTGGCGAACTCGAAAATGCACTTGAAGAAATGATGGAACACATTCTAGACCAAAGAAGCAATGACACCAATCAAGAATACAATAGCGTTCCAACTAGCAGAGGCAACATGGATATTGATGAAGGAGAGGCAACTGTAAGTATATTTTTTAAACTCTGTAAACACAGACTGTTGGTATTCATAGTGTATCAGGTGACATCCTTTGGTGCTAACAATACATTTATAAGCTAACAAGAGTTTTAAAAAAACTTATTTTAGGAAAAATTTAATAAATTTCAATTAAATGCAATCAATCCTGTTTAATATACACGATATTTTTAATAACCTTTGTTTGAAAACATAGAGCAGGTCCAGATTTGGCTTCCATTGCATATACATATTTTATATTTATAATAACAAATGATTATTTTGTGTATAAACATTTGTCCAATTTTTGTATATTATGATTATCTCATAACGAAACACATATAGCTATTGTATTTTTGTAATGTATGCTATATGTAACAATGTAAATTGTAGGAGGAACTGATGAGCACAGATTCTGGTGAATCAGATTCCAATCCATCAGATCAAGTAGATGACGAGGGTAATGATGATAACGAGGCTGACGATGAAAATATTGAAGATGGAGAAGAGAATGAAGAAAATAATTATGATGAGGATGATACAAATGATAGAGGTAGAAGGGGTACGTAAAATGTGATCTTTATAAGGAGTTCTGAATAATCAATACCATTTTGTAGGTTCTGCTAATGAAGGTGGGCCAGGAATATTCAGAATCCGTAGTGCAGCTACAGATGAAGATATTTTAATGATCCATTACAACACTGACGACTCAACTTCTCCTAGAATGATTCGTTGGAATGAGACTGGTAGCTTTGCCATGCCCTTCTTTGAAGATAATACTTCCTCTGAACCTACTGGTACTATATTAATTACTTAATTATTAACGTATGTACTGATAATCATTATATTTCAGCTATTACTCATCCATTACTAATATCTCGAATTCCTGACAATAATCAAAGCACTGCTAGTCGAAATCAGAGAGCTAATCGCCCCAGAAGATATCAGTATTTATTTAACCCTAGAAATCCAAATCCACCAGTGATTTTACAAAGGTAAATAATATTATTTATTATTAAACTCACAATTAACAAATATTTTTTAATTTCCGTAGTATCCGCAGGCTATTTAGACCACATGATCCTCATGTCGGACCTAGTGACAATATATTGGGTGCCCCAGATAGTCGAGAAGCTGCTAGGGTAGTAGTTATGGATAACTTTGGTATCATTCCTTCCAATGAAGAGCAAATTGATCTTGTTGATCAATCTGGCTTTCTCTTTGGGCCTAGTTTGGCAGCAACTTTGAGTCACATACCGCCTGTTTTACACTGGTGGAATATCGAATCTAAGTTACTTGATTTGGAGTCTGTATATGATTGTACAACATACTCGTGCAATAGACTTATCCCTGATTTGATAAAATATAGAAATGAAGAGTTACGGAGTAAGAAAGAAAAAGAAGAAGAATTATCTAAAAAGCGCAAGCGAACCACAACTGATCAAGATCAAGATGAGTACAGTAGTGAAACTGTATTATTTAATTATGATGAGGCTAATACTACTGCTTCCACAGATCAAAGTAAAGAGGATGATGCTGACGCTGAAGCTTATGATCCAGCTATGCCTGTTCCATCAAATGAAGAAGATCTAGATGGTATTCCTATCGAAATATCAGATACTTCTAGTGAAAGAGATTGTCACACTCATAATGACGACATGATCCATTGCTGTCCATTGCAACTAAGTTTTGCTAATTCTGGAGATGAAAATTCTCAAAACAATCTTTCTGAAACAACCCATACTGCTGTACAGACAACAGATACATCAGATAATCTAACACAAAATACAGATGACTCCAACAGTAGAGCCGAATCAGAAACAAGGGCAGAAAGTGATTCTTCCAATCCGTTTGAGCTCTCTCTTCCATATAGATGTAACATCATATTTGCTAGGCCTATATCTTCTGAAAGACAAGGTGATGATTCTAATTCAATCAGTGAAGCTGTGACAAACTCTCTTTTGAACAGTATTGCAACGCAAGATCCGAGCCTCTTTGCTAGATATGAAGAAACTTATGTATTTGAGGACTCAATTGGTCAGCAAATGGATACAGTATCTGAGCAATCTGTCGAAGATCAAGTCAATAGACCAGGAGGTACTAATACAGGAGGTGGAAGAGATACAGACACAAGAGGTCGCGACATAAGAGATAGAGGTCATGATATCAGAGATAGAGGTCGTGAGATTAGAGGCAGAGACCATGACAGGAGAGAAAGACAGACTAGAGGTAGAGATGACGATCGTGAAATACGAGAAATTCAACGTGAAAACAGCGAACGACAAGAACGCGAATTACGAGAAAGAGTAGACCGTGAATTTAGGGAAAGCCTTCGGCGTCTAAACAGAGAACGAGAAGAACGAATGATAAGACAAAGAGAGGCAGATCGTGAATTGGGAGAAATAATACGACGCGAAAACCGAGAAAGAGAATTACGCGCAGCAAGGGAAAGAGCAGATCGTGAATTTGGTGAAGCAGTACGACGCGAAAACCGAGCACAAGAGGAACGTGAATTAAGAATACAACGCGAAAACAGAGAACGAGAAGGACGCATATTAAGAGAAAGGGGTGAAAACGAAGTGGGTGAAAGAGAAGGGGCACGAGATCGGGTAGTAAGATTAAGAATTCGCGAACCTAGAGAAAGACAACGTGAAGAATCTTCAGAGCAAGATCGAGAACCAAGAACGAGCAATGAACCTCAGACACACACAGCTATAGAAAATATTACCAATACCGAATCAATTCAGGCTAGTTCCGACAACGCTGAAGTTGAACCAACATTAGCTAGTGCTGAAGTTATAGAAACATCAACCAGTGCGGAGGGTACAGAACCAGTTATTGTAGCAGTTCCTGTAGCTGCCGGTAAGTTTTAAAGTATATTTAAATATTTTGCCAACACCGTGTTTGGTTCATTTTCCAATATATTTCATCACAATAAATAAACACTTGAAGTATGTACTTCAACTATCGTTATCTTCTTCAATCATCTAGTTAGTACTCCAATGTTGTCTAAAAGCAGATTTGTCTCTGTATGCACGTGAATATGAAGTCATTCTGTCATATTCTGTATGATTATAACTATACTAACATTTCTGGTATTACATGTCATTACGGAAATTATTTACGGAAATTATTACATGTCCACTCTCGGGTCACTAATTTCAATTTATTTGCCTTTATTTATATAATAATAGAATTTATTATTTCTGTTTGATACCTTTCGTAATTTTATTTAATAGTATTGTATTATAAATACTAAATTTACAATGTTTTAGTTGTCTCCTCTGCGGGGCCGAGTAATGATGAGGAAGACGATGAAGAAATTCCTGAAGGAGTAGATCCATCATTTTTGGAAGCGTTGCCACCTGAAATGAGAAGAGAAGTTTTGGAGCAACACCGCATTCTCTGCCTTCAACAGCGCATTGCTGCTGCTACTGCTGCAGCTGATGCCGCTGCGGCGGAAGCTGCAACTAGTAGCAATTCTGGTGAGCAGCCACAAGGGGAAGCTGCAGCTGCTAGTGAGGATAACATAGTTAGTCCAGAATTTTTAGCGGCTCTTCCACCAGCTTTACAGGAAGAGGTTTTAACACATCAACGATTAGAACAGCAACGTCAAGCTGCAGCTAGGGCTAATCCAAATGAACCTGTCGATGCTGGAGCCTTTTTTGAAACATTACAGCCGTCCCTTCGAACTATGGTAAGCATATTATTAACATTAAATGAGCGCATACCTGTACTACAAATTTGTATCACCAAATCTAAAACAAAGATTAATATTACAAAAATTAGTATATGAAACTCACCTGGCTTCCGGGTTAAACCGCGTCGAGCTCTCAGATCTCTTTACTACATTATTAGATGTACTGTTTATTACTCACTGCACTACATAGTGTACACTTATTTTTTATGTATAAGCAAAGGCATTTTTCATCAAAGGCCAAGTTTATTATAATATAGAAACATTTCTGCTCCTCTCCGTTCCATGTATTTCTACATTTGTCCAGTGATTTTTTCATCTTCTGGCGATTTGGCTTTTCTTAATTGATTCTGTGAGTTATGTTATATTATTTTCTGTTCCTTCTGTTGCTACTAATTAATCTCTGCTAACTAAGTCTTCATTTTCATTTCCAGTTTCTCAAATTTTATTTTGATTGTATAACAAGTTCTAAAAGTATTCTTTCCATTACATACGTTTCTTTTGATATTATGCTGCCGGTTTCCTTTCTTATTTCAGTTCTTTCATTTCTTCGTGCCTTACATTCTTTCATCATTATCATCATCATCATCAATTAGCCTATCTTTGTCTACTGCTGAACGTAGGCCTCCCGTAAAATTTTTCACCTATTTCTGTCTTGAGCTTCTTGCATCCAGTTTGTGGTGATGCGTTTGATATCATCCGTCCATCTAGTCGGTGGTCATCCTCTGCTTCGATATGCATCTTGCCTTGGTCGCCATTCCAGAATCTTTTTGGTCCATCTGTCATCGGTTAATCTGGCAACATTTTTAGCCCAAGCCCATTTAGCCCTGGCTATTTTTTCAACTGCATCTGTGACTTCTGTTCTTCTTATTTCTGGGTTTGTTACTTTATCTCTGATGCTAATACCTAATATTGATCTTTCCATAGCGCGTTGTATAACTCTACATTCTTTAATGGATTATAATTTGGTTTATGATTATGTTTGTCTTTTACAATATCACATTTATAATTATCAAAATAAATTATTTCATTTGTTTCAGATATTATCTGACATGGAAGATTCTCAAATGTCTGCTCTACCACCCGATCTGGCAGCAGAAGCGCAAAATTTACGCAGGGATTGGTATGCTAGGAATAGGCAAATGGCACAAGAAAGATTCTTACAAAACAGTTTGGGTTCAATTTATAGACATTCTAGAGGAAGACAAACCTATAGACCCAATAACTTCCAAAGAGGATGGACTCAATGGAGTAGAGAATTTATAAATAATTCAATGTCTTCTACTTCCCCATGAAAATAAGAGGACGTCAGTTATTAGACCCTGAGGGTTTAGCATGCATATTGGTTTTATTGTTTATGGATGATTCCAACTTAAATAAATTAAGATTGCATCGAGTAATAAGAAATTTGTGCTATCATACTCCAACCCGAGAATGGATCATTAATGCTTTACTATCGATAATAGAGAAAAGTGTGAATATTCAACCAGATGAAAACTTAAATACACAAACTAGAAAAGGACCAAGACCTGGGCCACTAAGTAGCAAATTGGTTACAGATGCCAAACACTTACAAAATGGAAGTAACTGGTTAACCATCAGAATGGAAGCAGCTTTGGGATGCGCAGCTAACGTCTTCATTGTTAATAAAACTGTTGGAAAGAAATGTGATAAAACAAGTGGATCTTCAATGATTAGTATCCATCCCCAAGCAGCTCCGATAGTTTGTAGAAACACTTTGGATCTCTTTACAACCCTGGCCAAAACGTATCCATCGTGTTTGCTACCAATTAAGTCGATCAGAGATGATAGTGACAAGTCTTGTGTTACCCCTATTCGAGTTAGACCTGAATCATTTCCTGAATTCTGGGATATTCTACTTCGTTTAGATTCAGCTACCAAAAAGGGAAAGAGCATCCAAAAGAACACTATTCATACTACTGTTATAGATAATGATGGACCGATCCACTTTGAACACACAGTATTTGGAAAGTTATTAAATATGTTATCATCACCAGTAGTTAATAAGAATACACAACTGACTGATAATTTGTTGAAATTGTTGTCAGTTACCACTTCCGGAATGCCCGAATTAGTTAAACCTACTAAAACTAGTAAAGCAAAAGTCCAATTAACTGACACTGTTAACAATCCGCCTACACATGCATTACGACTGGCTGTTAATGTTATTACTTACAAGAACTGTTCAGAAGAAGGCTTAGAGTTTATAACTAATTTACTACTTAACCTAGCCAATTCTTCCGTGGACATGAGTTTCATAGTAAGTATATAATTATTTTTTTTTATTTAATTCCAGTGCTTTATTACCATTTCATTCTCCGCTAATCTTGTACTCTGGGTATGTACTTCGCGGTATACTGGGGTACACATTTACTATTTTTATTTTGTTTTATAGTATGATGTATTATTATTTTCAGATATTAAACCTTCTCTTAAATGGTGCTATAGAAATTGGTAATATTGTGGAAACTCAAATCCAATTCATGCTTAAGGATCTTAAAGGTATCATGACTAATTCACAAAAGAGGAAGCGCGAAGAAGCTGGAACCTCAACATCAAAGGGAATTATTAATAATAGGTTCACTAATGAACAGGTAGTCATAACGGCCTCATCTAAGGTAAAGGCATCTTGTGAATTGCAGCTACCTTCAATGGTTCCCTTAACTTCTAAATCTTCTAGTCAAGTATTTTTCCTGAGAGTGCTAAGAGTTATTGTTCAAATCAGGAACTCAATTAAGGATAATTTAAAAACAGGTATATTGTATAAATAACTAAATCATTAATTAAATTGTTTTGTATAATTAGGACATTTTTCAGCAGAAACGGCTACATACGAACTACCTGCACTTAGTGAGCAATTAAATAGTTTAACCAGTTTTTGGGAAACTTTAAGTCAATGTCTTTCTGAATTAGAGCATGCTCCAGATCATCACGCTGTTCTTGTTTTGCAGGTAAGTGAATATCACATACTTACTTTGATCTTAACAATGAAAAACTAAAAAATATTTATAATTTTATAATTATTTCAGCCTGCTGTTGAAGCATTTTTCTTGGTTCATTCTCCACAACAAGGCCCTATTAAATCGGAAGAAAAAGATACCAAAGAGACTGAAATGGAAGAACACAGTGGAGAATCTACAGAATCACAAGGTAGTATTCCATCCACTTCAGATGCTGCTGCACAAGCTACAGTTTCTCCTGGTGATGAAGAACAACAGGCTTCGAGACCTGCTAGTGAAATAAATCTCTTGGATTGGGATAAATATTCAGAAACATCTGGAAAAGCTAGTATTACTCCCGAACAACAACAATTCCTTACGTTTGCAGAGAAACATCGCACAGTTCTTAACCAGATTCTAAGACAAAGTACTGCTCATTTGGCTGATGGTCCTTTTGCAGTTTTAGTTGATCATACCAGAATTTTAGATTTTGATATTAAAAGACGTTACTTCAGAACCGAACTCGAAAGACTGGATCATGGAACACGAAGAGAAGAAACTGCCGTCCATGTTAAGAGGGGCAACATCTTTGAAGATTCGTTCCGAGAATTGTTCAGAAAGAACCCTGAAGATTGGAAGAACAGGTTCTACATTGTTTTCGAAGGTAAGATTACTTATTTGTATATTATACATCCATATAAATATATTACATATATGGATATATGACATATTAAGTTAAAAAATGAAAGTATCGATGAGTCAAGATTTTGTTATAGGATTTTAGTTTAGGATTTATTGATGCTGGTACCTTAGTGCCATACATTATCTATTGAATCATCTTAATTATTGTTGATGAACTATCATATTAAATTAGATGTAGGCTTGTAGTTAAGAACAACCCCATAGAACAGCAGAACCAATTCATACCTCGTTGTAGATTTATTCATTTACCATGACCTAGTCAGAGACCTAAGAGGGCAAACAAATAAGGTCGCATTAATATCCGAATATTATTTAATAGATGTTGTCTAGAATAACCCGTAATGATCTATGCAATAGAATCCGGGGAAGACATCAATAAAACCAAAAGTATGCTACATACAATCAAAATGAAGATATTAATAGCATTATCAGGGAAAACAAGAAAGTGGATGGAATATCACAAGTTACCAAGAATTGCGTTAGAAGGAAAACCAAATGGCAAGCTCCAGCGGTGAGTCCACCAAAGAGATGGAGATATAGGGGGCAGTCTACCTCTCAAGAAATACTTCAGCAATGAAATTAATAGATCGTAAGATCTACAGCAAGTACAACAAGAAAAAGAAATACACAGATTTGTGTATTTTTGACACTATTCGTTTTGTAGTTTGAAAACAAACTCACGACATATATTGGTTTACTTGGCTGCCACTTTTTACAAGAGTTACAAGAATTTTACACCAAGAGTTTTGTGTGTAGTTATAGATTTTAATAGTTACGATAATCTTTTACATCGTTGTTTTGTGCTTATTTGATGCCTTCATTTATTTGATTTTTTCTCTTTAAATTCAGATGTAGTATTTTGCATACTATGTCATATATTAGATCTGTAGGCGAAAAGAGTGTCCTTTTTTCCGTTGTTGGTAAGTTTATTAGATGAAGCTATTAGATATATGGATATTTTTTTGGAAATTTTATTATTTTTCGAGCACTTCAGCATAAATCGATCACTTCCATATACATCAATTTGTGATCCATACCTTTTATTTAATCTAAGGATATGTTATCCGAGCGCTAATAACGTCGCGTTAGCAGTGCCGCGTTAGAGTCGACCCAACCGGACAATGGTATTACCATGGAATGTCGTTCGTATTATTTACTTCATTGTTTGTAATGCTATTGTCCGGTTGGGCTGCTGCTATGGCGACGGTCTAATACCGTCGCCTTAGCAGCAGCCCAACCGCCCATATAGCAGGGTCTTAACTGGTGTTTTCCTTGTCATATATTTAGTATTTTATTTTTGTAATTTTGTTTATATATTTTATTATTTTTCTAGTTAACATGGCATACGGTTTGTTTTATTTGTTTCCCGGTTTGAAAGACGCATTTGTGTAAATTTTCTTTTTTTTTCTGTACTTTTGTGGTTTAATGCCAAAGTTGGTTACTCTAATTCCTCTTACGTCACAATTGAAGTTTTACTATTAAAAAAAATTCATAATATATAAAACTGTTTAGTAGCCATGTCCTATTATCAATCTGTTTAAAAATAACATACATTAATTTATAGATGAAGAAGGTCAAGATGCAGGTGGACTCTTACGTGAATGGTATGTTATCATTTCGAGAGATATCTTTAATCCAAATTATGCATTGTTCACTGTGTCCCCTGGTGACAGAGTAACCTATATGATTAATTCATCGAGTCACTATAATACTAACCACCTGTGCTACTACAAATTCGTTGGAAGGGTAATTGGTGAGTAATTAAGATTTTTGTTGCATTAGCATTTTACTATATTAGTACATCATCATCATTAGTACATCATCATCATTAGTACATCATTGACTACAAAGCCCCACACAGTCTAATCTTAATTTCATACATTTCAGCTAAAGCCATATATGACAACAAGCTTCTTGAGTGTTACTTTACGAGATCATTCTACAAGCACATTTTGGGCATTCCAGTAAAATATACAGATATGGAAAGCGAAGACTATAGTTTCTATAGAGGTTTAGTATACCTTATGGAGAATCATGTAAAAAATATAGGTCTTGAACTGACATTCAGTACTGAAATCAGTGAATTTGGAGTAACTGAAACGAGAGATTTAATACCAAATGGGCGACACATCCCTGTCACTGAAGAGAACAAAATGGAGTATGTTAGACTAGTATGTCAAATGAAGATGACAGGAGCTATAAAACAACAGTGAGTAAAAACACTACCTTAATACTTTTTATTTATTTACTTGGCAAAGTAATTGCTAACTATCAGTTGATTATTTAAGATATCTTAATTAACAAGTGTTTTCTCTATTACAAATGTGGTCCGTCGGCTGACGAAACCAGACCAAGTCAAAATTTGAGTTTTTTCAGTAAGTGAAAAAATCGTTTAAAAATTAAATGCTTAAGTAAATGTAGCTTTTATTAATTACATTTATGAATATACGCTACATTGAATACAATACAAAATAAAAAACATAAATGTTTTGGATTTTGATTGACTTGTCCAGTTAGGCACGTCTTGGTTTATTAACTTATTTTATAAGGCACAAATGAAGTGCCTATTTCAGATTTAAAAAAGACAAATATTACTTATGAAATACAAATTAAAGAATAAAATTATAAAATAACAAAAGTTACAATTTTAATTAATTTATTTCTTCATCATCACTTACTAGATTGTGGTGCATATTTTGAACTAATATTAATATTTTGTCCTTTTTCCTTTTCAGACTTCATTCCTTTTTAGAAGGTTTCTATGATATAATACCAAAGCGTTTAATATCCATATTTAATGAACAGGAATTAGAGTTGTTAATTTCAGGATTACCAAATGTAGATATAGATGATTTGAAAGCCAATACAGAATATCACAAATACCAAACGAATTCATTGCAGGTAAGATTTTTAAAAATAAGTTCGTCTGTTGTGTCATTTTTTTAAGTTTGTGTAAGTTGGAATGAACTGCCAAGTGAAGAGCTGGTAGCCTTTCGTATGTAGAACCAGATTCCACAGTAGTAGTGATAATTGGGTGATAAGCTACGAGGTTTATATCTAAATGTTTTATCATTAGAATATATTTTTTTTTCTCCATCTATTTATCAACTCTGAATTCTCTAGTTACCAGTCCCTAGTCTAGATTTCCTCTTTCTTACTTTACAGAAGGTTGCAATTGCTCTCACGAACAATGCATTTCGTCGGTTGACAAGTAAAACTCACGAAGTGAAATTTTGAAAGAACAGAGATATTCAAGCCTTTCGTATGTAGAACCAGATTCCACAGTAGTAGTGATAATTAGCTGATAAGCTACGAGGTTTATATCTAAATGTTTTATCATTAGAATATATATTTTTTTTCTCCATCTATTTATCAACTCTGAATTCTCTAGTTACCAGTCCCTAGTCTAGATTTCCTCTCTCTTGCTTTACAGAAGGTTGCAATTGCTCTCACGAACAATGCATTTTTAATCTAACGATGATTTACCACTAGGCTTGAAAAATATCAAAGGAGCAAATGGAGGGTTTTTTTTTTGTATTTTTTATTGCATATTTACACTACTCTACATTTTATAACCCTTACAAATGTTTGTAAGAGGTCAAAGATTAATAAAAACAATTAAAACAATTATTTTTGTCTTACTTTTTATAGATCCAATGGTTCTGGAGAGCTTTGAGGTCTTTTGATCAAGCTGATCGCGCTAAATTTCTTCAGTTCGTCACTGGAACCTCAAAAGTTCCATTACAGGGTTTCGGAGCATTAGAAGGAATGAACGGAGTTCAAAAATTCCAGATTCATAGAGATGATCGGTCAACTGACCGTTTACCATCAGCGCATACTTGGTAAGATACATGTTTAATATTTTATTATTGCTTTACATTTTGCACTGAAGTATGACATCCCTTTGGAATATGGTTACTTTGAAAAAGAAAAAAAACTATGAAATAGTGACATTTTTGTAATAAATAATAATCTACAAAACAAAAAATAATTATCAGTGCATTTGAGTTCTTCCCGTGAATAAATCACAATCACAACGAAAAATCGTCATAAAATTAGTGAAAATATAAAGTGAGATGTTTAAATTAAGTGTAGATCAAATCATTATGAGAAAGTTATTAAGTACAGATTGCAAATAGAGACAGAATTAAAAAACTTCCTGTGATATTTATATATCTTTTTTTTTTAATTGAATGGTCCAAATAGCTCATTTTCTGATTTTCAACATGTACACTAGTGGCCAAAATTCTGAAACTTTTCAAAAATTTTGGTTTTGTTATCAGCATTCCTCTTTTTCACAAGACTTATGTTATTTATAAGTTTGTCTATAATTTTATTACATCGTTTTATGCTTCTACTTAATATTTAACATCTATTTTAAGGGGGAAATCCTCTAAAATTTTAAACATCAATAAAACAACAGCCGTTAGCTATTAGTAGGTATATTTAAAAAAAATGGTACCATGATTATTAACAAAATTAGTATTTGGTAGGATAACCTTTGTTTTTTGGGACAGACTCAATTCTTCGAGGCATGGAGTTGACGAGATGAGCCAAATCTTCTGGTGTAATAACTCTAAACCAGTTTTGAATACTGGCTTCTATCAGTTCTCTCTTGTTGCTTGGGTTTCGGCGTGATACTAAGACTCAGCCTTGACCATAAATTTTCTATTTGATTTAGATCGGGACTATTTCGAGGCCAAGGCGGAACAGTAACATCATGGTTTCTCAACCATTCCATGGAAGATGCATTGTTGGGCATCCCCTTCGGATAAATCTGTGATATTCGACAGCAGTTTGGCTTGCTGTATCTTTTTCTGATATTTTTTTGCATCAGTATTGCCCTCTACTACTGCTAAACGTCCATCTCCATTAGTGGTCATGCAAGCCCATACCATCACACTTACAGGATGCTTCATAGTGACCGTAGTACACTGGGGCAAAAGGTCTTCTCCCGTACGGCGGCGAACAAACTTCACTCCTTCACTCCTAAAGATCGAGATTTTGGTTTCATCACTCCAAATTACTTTACTCCGTTGTTCTTTTGTCAACCCTCTGTGTGCCCAATCAATGCGTTTTTGCCTGTTTTTTGTTCAGGAACGGCTTCTTTCTAGGAATTCGTGCTCGTAATCCATTTTCAAACAACTTTCTTCTGATAGTGCGGTCCGACATTTGTAATCCAGTTGATTTGACAATACCGTTAAAAATCTTTTGCGGATCTGCGAAAAGATCTCCTAAACAAAGTCGGCATTATTCTACGCACATCGTAGTGACTAATGAATTCCTCTCCAACAATTAAACAATATCACCTTAGTAACAACTACCTGATGTCACTAATAAACACTGGAAGCCGCACGAACTGTACTACAGGCCACCTAACCGCTTTTAGTTGGTTGTTGACTGACTAGCGAAACCCTGACGCAATACAGTATTGCCAATGTTGCCATTCACAAATCTCGGATTTTCGGCGTTTTGCTTGAATCTGGTTCCATATTTTATTAAATAATGATGTTAATAAAAAAATCATGAGAAATACATAAAATATTATGTAGGAATATAAAACAATAAAATAAAAATGTAATTGTAATGGTAAACTATATAAATCGTGAGACGGAGTCTTGTTAAAAAAACGATAATTTTTGTAAAGTTTCCAGAATTTTGGCCACTAGTGTATATGCTTTAACAATTATAAATATGTAATGCTTGTGTAAAGGTGTTTAATTATTATTTATGTGTGTTTATCTATTAGTTCTCATTTCTTAATAATTAGTAAAACGTATTTTAATAACACTATTTAATATTGATTTCTTCTTACAGTTTCAACCAATTGGATCTGCCGGTTTATGAGACTTATGACAAGTTAAGAGGATACTTGTTGAAGGCCATCCACGAGTGCTCCGAGGGTTTTGGCTTCGCTTAAATAATCCTTTGATGTTTAAGACTGATGTGTTATTGCTGTTTATATATATCACCTAGAGTAGATTTCTGTAAATAAACGTATTCTATGTTAAGTGTACAGATTTCGAAAGGTGTAAAAAAAAGTTACTTTTAGTTTTCTATATTCGCTTCAAAATTTTAGTTAGTCATTGGATTAGTTTTTGAGTTTTATACAAGTTTATTTGTAAATTTCATAGGACGGCACATGTATTTTTGTAAAGGGCCTGATGGCAATTCGAGTGTGATAACTGAATTAGATATTCAGATTTGATATTCAAAGTATATTTGTATTCTTAATTTAAGTCTTGTTATTCTTATAATTATTAAGCCATCCTTTTATAAATGCGCTGTTACTCTTTGAATACTTTTAGTCTCTCATAATCAGGTAAATATAGTCAACATGTATTTCAGAATTGTGATTTAATTAAATAAATGTTTTTATCAATGTCTTTTTGTTTTTTCATGAAATGTTACATTTAGCATACAAGTTCCTGAACGGAGAATACACCTAAAACCAAAGAGAAAGGTTAAAATGAACCGGTAACTCACCGAGTATCTTTTATGAATATCTTGAGGATATAGTAGAAGCTTACGAGAAAACAGAAAATTATCTCTGAAGGATAGGGTCATTTTCATATTTTTAGCTGTTGCTACATAAACATATGAGGCGGTGAAAGGAAAAGTGGTGTAAGTCACTTTTTTTATAGAATAGAGATAATTGCATATTCAAAATCTCCATATTTAAATCTATCAGACGCAATAGTGGTGTAAGTCATAAGTCTTCCATTGGCTCACAGATAGCAGCACAAACTTGACAGTCAAACAAAATCTCTGTTGTAGTAGAGGGAATAGTGGTGCAAGTCAGACTTACACCACTATTCCGTCATTCCTATGACAGTTGTTTAGTATTTTGTAGTTGTGATTTTTCAATACAATGGATAACGACAGTTTAAGTGATGTGAGTGTTGAGCCTAGTATTTTCGCTTACTCAGGAGATGAGGAGTGGGTACCTTCTGACTCTCAACAAGAAAGTATTGGTAAGTTAAATTTGTGTATTATATTTATTTGTATAAAATAAAAACTAACCTCAAAATGTTGAATTCTCTACACTAACAATAAATAAACTCGTATAAATAGAACAACGTTTTTGAGTGTTATTTTAATAAAGTTGGTTTGTTTCAGACTGTGAATCAAATGAGGAAGTCCCTCTGCAAGACCATGAAAGCGAAAGTATTCGAGTAGTAGAAGTTCCACAACCCAAGAGAGCACGAAAACGACAGAGGCATGAAAATAAAAAAGAAAAAATAAAGCGACTTCGCAACTCAGGTTGTGAGTATAAGACAATAAAAGGAAAAGTAGTGGCAGGTAAAACTTTTTCAAACAACAACTGTTTTTGCAATAAAAACTGTTTTGAAACTATGTCATGTGAAGACAGAAAAAAAGCATTTGATTCATTCTGGAAATTGAAATCATTTATAGCACAGAATGCTTTTATTTGTGGTTTGATCAAACAAAAGAAACCTGAAATAAAAATGTCCTAGGGATCAGTCACGACCTGGTAAGACAGTGTCTAACCAATATTTCATTCAAAAACAAGGCGAAACCACGAAAGTATGTAAAAAATACTTTCTTGGAACCTTTCAGATATCTGATGGCCGAATGTCACGGGCCATTAATAAGATAAAACAAGGGGAACCACCTGGTTCAGATAATCGAGGCCATGGTATACAACTAATAAAATATCTGAAGAACGTATGAACTGTGTCCGGAAACATATTCAAAATTTTCCGTCTTACCAATCGCACTACACAAGGAATAAGAATCCCAATCGTAGGTATCTATCTTCTGACCTTAATGTTACCCTGCTGTATCGTTTGTACAGTGAGTACTGTCAGGAACAAGTTATTGTCCCGTTTCCTGTGATATTTATCGCCGTACATTCAATAATGAGTACAACCTTCATTTTCATGTACCACAAAAAGATACGTGCTCTAAGTGTGATGCTTACAAATTAAAAAAAAGCTGCAACAACAGATGCTAATGAGATAAAACAGTTTGAAGTTGAGCACGAACTCCATCTTAGGAAGGCCGAGCTGGCACGTACTTCTATGAAAAAGGATACAGAAAAGGCCCAGACTGACGATTCTTACTATGCATTCACGTTTGACTTAGAGAAAGCCCTACCTTTCCCAAAACTAACCACATCTATCGCATACTATAAACGTAATATGTACATTTACAATTTGGGCTGCCATGAGCTATCATCTGGCTTAGGCTACATGTATGGATGGGATGAAACAACAGCTTCGAGAGGATCTCAGGAAATCAGTGCCTGTGTCACAAAGCACATAGAATTACGTTCAGCAAATTCAAAGCATGTTGTATTATACAGTGATAGCTGCACCGGCCAAAATAGAAACTGGAATTTTGCCTTGGCCTTGTTACGATTAGTTCAAAGTGAAAACAATACTATCGAAATAATTGATCACAAGTTTATGATAAGCGGACACTCTTACTTACCAAACGACTCCGACTTTGGTTCAATTGAAACTCACTCTAAAGGCAAACTGATTTATGTGCCTGAAGATTGGTTTTCAGTCATAGTTCGGTGTAGAAAGAAAAAAGCTTTCATTTTCACAAAAATGCTTAGAGAAGACTTTAAAGATCTGAAAAATCTCACTAAATCAATTTCAAAAAGAAAAACCAATACTGATAACCAACCAGTGTCATGGTTAAAAATGCAATGGATTAGAGTAAAAAAAGATGAGCCATTTTCACTGTTCTATAAAGAAACATTAAATGAAGATTTTTCCTTTTCACAAATTAATATCCTTCAAAGCAAGCAGAAGGGAAGACCAACATTGTTGAAAAATCTTCAACTGGATTGCCTGTACACAGCGCCTCGACAGTAATGCCAGCTAAAAAACGGGATATGTGTGATTTACTACCATACATTCCTCATCCACCATTCTTATTTTAGAAATCTTATATCATCTGATGAAGTCAATGACGAAGCTGGACCACTTCCTGATGTAGAAGAAAACAATGACTAATAAACTAGTGAATTTATATTTGATTTTCTAATGTAAAAACAATAAACATGTTTTGCTTTCTTTACATTCTCTTTAAACTCTTAAGGAAAAGTGGTGTAAGTCATTTCAACCCTTAAAAACTACCCTTAACATAGTTTTATTTTTACAAAAATGTTAGAGTTGAACATGTTCTTAGTAAATAAAAAAAAATCACAAGCATGTTCATAAATGTTTCACAGATTTAATTACAACGTTTCTAGTAAAACCTTTTATATCTCAAAATGATGCTCAGATGACTTACACCACTTTTCCTTTCACCGCCCCATATGTAGGGGTGTGTCTATTTTCTGTCTTCAAAGTAAGGATACACTGTGCTTAGTGGTAAATTTTGGGCCGGGTAGACGACGAATCTCGTGGCTGAAAACTCTGGAGTGTTCAAACATAAGAACTGTTCACCGAGCTCTTTTGTGGTACAGAATGATCACCAACGAACATTCAGAAACGTTTACTATTCACCATATACTCAAATAAAAATCAGTGCATGTGAAACCAAAACTTTCTTTAGTTGCTTGGGAATAGTTAAAAAAAGATAGTACAGTAGACTAGCTACACAAGCTTCATACTATGTTTTCTGTATTTTTAAATTGAATTAAGTAATTTTATTATTTATTTAGTATTTATTTTTACAAAAAATTAGGTTATATTATAATAATTCAATAAATTTATATGTTTGCTAAAAACGCCACTTGCCAACGTATTAACAAAGCGCACGTCGTGCAATTCTGACAGACCTGTCAAATTCAGACGAAATATTAAATTAATAAAATACAAATATAAAATTTCTCAACCAAATTTTAGAAGTTCTGAAAATACCAATTTCTTTAAAAAATCCTGTTTTGTCAAACAGGCGAAATCTCATTAAAAAGAGTATAGTGTAGAAATTAAAAAAAAAGTCAACTGACTACAAATATCTACAGTAATGATGTAATTGTAATATCTGTAAATACATCTCAAATAATTAAAATGTTTAATATGTATACAGATGCATCCAGAAAAGTGAACTTCAATCGCTTGGAAAAGTCTGAACACTGTGTTTCCCTAATCACCTTGGGGGTTTATACTGAATCACACCCTTATAGCACCTGTATTTGCTACTATTTTAAACGATCTACGTTTCGGCTGCAAAATAGGTTGAAGACTGTAATAATTGGCGAACCGATTATAATATTCGCGGGAACCCTACTGTCACCATTCAAATAAATGCCGCTGTCCTCATTGTCTAAAGAGACGCCTGTCTCAAATCCTTGGGTGCGTCTACAATTCTTAGGGGATACTTATCCCTGCGAGCGGAGGCAAGGCTTACTGGTCCCACTAGTCTGAACTGGCTGGTTCGCCCTCGCCGCGGATTCAGGAGGGTAGGGAGATCTGGAAAAAATGGGTGAAGGACTTCTAGGTCTCAGGTAAAGGTACTCCTGTAAAGAGTTGAGTCTATGGGCTTACTTTAGAAGCCAGAGAAATGCATAAGCGGAAATTGTGTACTCTTCTAGTCTCTGCCTGTAACTGCCGGGAAGGAACACTAAAACCAAATTTCGAGTCTACAATGTATTAAATAGACTGCATACTACAATTAAGTTAACAAGCTATCAGTTATAACCAATAATGATTCGTTCAGGCGCGAAGGGAGACGAGAAGACACCTTAGCAAGAAATTAAAGGGTGGACAATCTACGTTTTTATATATTCCTTGGGTTAGTATATAGATTTAGTGACCTTCGCGTATTTAGGCCCTAGCTAATAAATTCGCCCTTCAGTGCTACTGGAATTCAGGATCAGTTTGTTGAGGTACCGCGCGCTATCACGAATTTTCGAAACACCAGATACCGGCACTTACAAGGTACTATCCCCGTCGAATTACAATAGCGCGCTCACTGAACTGCGTAATGCCCGATCGCCCGTGCTTCTGGCGTGGAGCCCTCTCTGCTGTCCCGCTCTTACTCGAGCGCTTACTGGACGCTACCGCTTCCGAGCACTCACGGGCGCCGGCAACTACTGGCGATTGAGCACTCTCTGGCCCCGGTCGCCTGAATACTACCGATGCCTAGCGCTTGCTGGACACTACTCGCGCCGAGCGCTCCCTCGACACTACTGGCCGGTTGACTAATTTTTTCGTTTTATGTCCCGCGAACATTCCTAGTTTTTTTTTGCTGATTCTGCTGTCTGTTCCACGTGTTAGAATAGATCATGCGATGGTGTGTCGCTTCGTTGTATTATTTTCTACGAAGGTCTTCACATTTCGTAATTCTTAAACATTCGGGCTTGTGTCAAACTAGGTCAAATTGTTATTCTTTGTATAATTTGAAATGTATACGTTAAACTGTATCGAATTTATTCTTTATTTAATTTGGAATATATAATAAT